GACAGTTCGAATCTATTAGGCTATACATACAGCATTCTGATTACTTAATTAATGTTAGCGAGATTTGGTGTCCTAAGCTTAAAGAGTTTTAAAGTACAAAGGAAGATAATTCTGAATGCCAGAGGATTAAATCAAGAACTCAGTATTGTTTTCTTTGTAAAAGCAAAATGTTATTAGATCCTAGCATATGTCTTAAATATGAAAATAATTACAATAACTGAAGCATTAATAAGGGTGTGATGCATATGGCAAGTACTATATAAAGAAACAAGAGTACTTGGCAATCTCTTAAAGAGTTTAAGGAAATGAAGAAGTTTGAATTCTGCTGTCCAGTGCAGACACTGCAGCCCTCGGTGTTCATGGGGCAGGACAGGAGGTCCGCCCCTGCTGGCCAATGCAGGCACTGCAACCCTCGGTGTTCACAGGGAAGGATGGGAGGTCCGCGCCCCCTGCTGTCCAGTGCAGGCACTGCAGCCCTCGGTGTTCATGGGGCAGGACGGGTGGTCCACCCCCTGTTGGCCGGTGTGGACACTGCAGCCTTTGGCACTCAGAACAGGACGGGAGGTCCACCCCTTGCTGTCCAGCACAGGCACTGCAGCCCTCGGTGTTCACTGGGCAGGACAAGCGGCCTTGGTGACATTCCTGCCCCTGACAGCTGGGAGAGCCCTCTGCTGTGCAAATGTCAACAATCCAGGCACCCTGAAGGCATACCCTGGGATAAGATCCACTTCCCCAAGGTGAATCCACACCATCAGGTCCAATTGTGCTTCTCCAGCCCCTAACTACAGATGACAGGTTCTTAGACATCCTCTGCCCTGTTCCTCAGACCTCCCCCAACCAGCCCAAGATCCACTGCAGCAATTACCCCGAACACTCCCACCCACCTGTGTGATCCTCTGGTCACTGACAGCCTCTTATTAGAAATGACTAAGCCTCTTTTTTTAAATACATCCATATCTTCTTTACTGCTTTAAAGGACATGAAACAGCCGATAAGGGGGAAGGTGTGGGCTGCAATATAATGTTATTAAGGCAAAGTTAAGAGGTAGGAAACAGAGCCCATGTTCTCAAACTTTAGGCAGGGAAGGGGGTTTGGGGACACATGATATCTATTCTTTAACAAGTGCTCCAAGGGAATGATCACCTTTTAGAAGCCAAAATAGGCAATTAGGAAGAGATGAACTAGCTCCTCCCTTTCTTTACTAAGCACAAGCTCTAGGTTACTCGAAACCTAAGCCCCCAACACAGCACAGAAAAGACACCAGCTCTTATTAGGACATTTACTAAGAGTAATCTATTGATTCTCGAAGAGGAGAATCAATATTATTTGGGGCAAATGAATTTTCCTCTCAGGAAATGCATGGGAAACATTTTCTTAATTGTAGGGACACAGTGTTTTCAGCAGTGGTGGGGTGGCCAGAGACACCCAGACAACTTGACACCTAGGTGCAGCTTGGATGGGTCCCTGTGGGGCATGAGTGGGGAATACTCCTGACACAGTAGGGAGCTGCCTTTTCCAGAGAATTTTATTCCCCCTTTGGGTTTATTCTGGGTTTAGAAGGCCACTGCCAAAAGCAAATCACTTTCTGAAACAATGTTCAGAAGGAGGCTGTCTCAGTGACAGGGTTGGACAAGATTTGCTCCCAAGCATCTCCTCTAATGTCTTGTCTATTCTGCTGTGAGCAGGGGCAGAAATGTCTGTCTGCCATCCTCAATTGCCTGGATATCTCTATAAGCTCATGGTTGGTATCAGAAGGTAATTGTCTCAGGGCTCCTTGTCCTCCTTTGTCCACAGGTGAGGTGGCAGGGACAGGATCAACCAGACTAGGAACTGAATTTGTTGTTCTGACCTTTTCTTCAAGAAAAGCTTTAGAGCTTCTGCTAGGGAGTTTGGAGATCTTGTCTTTGGAATCCACCCCAGAGATAAGGTCGTTTGAAGAGGCAAGGTTGGAAATGTTAAAAAAAAAAAAAAAAAGGCTGGGCACAGTGGCTCACGCTTGTAATCCTAGCACTCTGTAAGGCCGAGGCGGGTGGGTTGCTTGAGGTCAGGAGTTCGAAACCAGCCTGAGCAAGAGTAAGACCCCGTCACTACTATAAAGAAAAAGAAATTAATTGGCCAACTAATATATATAGAAAAAATTAGCTGGGCATGGTGGCACATGCCTGTAGTCCCAGCTACTCGGGAGGCTGAGGCAGGAGGATCGCTTGAGCCCAGGAGACTGAGGTTGCTGTCAGCTAGGCTGGCGCCACAGCACTCACTCTAGCCTGGACAACAAAGTCAGACTCTGTCTCAAAATAAAATAATAAAAAAATTTTAAAAAGACTGGTCACGGTGGCTCATGCCTATAATCCTAGCATTCTGGGAGGCTGAAGCGGGAGGTTCGCTCAAGGTCAGGAGTTTGAGACCAGCCTGAGCAAGAGCGAGACTCTGTCTCTACTAAAAATAGAAAGAAATTAGCGGGACAATTAAAAATCTACATAGAAAAAATTAGTCGGGCATGGTGGTGCATGCCTATAGTCCCAGCTACTCGGGAGGCCGAGGCAGAAGAATCGCTTGAGCCCAGGAGTTTGAGGTTGCTGTGAGGTAGGCTGACACCACGGCACTCTAGCCCAGGCAACAGGGAAATCCCACATCATCTTCATATGAATACTTTTAAGACGGGATTCCAACATCTCTTCTTTGCTGGAGCCAAGACAGAAAATCTCCCGGGAAGTATTCAGGCAGTGGTCCCAACACAATTGTGCCAAACTCCTTTTTATTGTTATTTTTGTTTTTGTTTTTGCCTGTGGGATTTCTCAGGAAGAGGTACTGTGTGCTTGATAAAATGCTATGAATTATGCAGAATCCCAGAAATCTGACTTTCATTGATTTCCTCAAGTTTCTTCCTCAATTGGACTTTCAGGGCATGTTCCAGCTGTTTTCGACCTAGGCTCACACTTGAGGCCCTTGAATTATTCCCTGACAGACTCACCGTGTGACTTTCTAGGTCTTTTACAGAGTGAGACCTTCGACCCTTTTCTGAAGACCTCTCTGGGTCATTTGACAGATGATCTTTTGGGCCCAGAGAGGTCTTCAGATAAGCATCTGGGGTCTAACTCTGTGAAAGACATAGAAAGTCAAATGGTGAGTCTGACAAGGAATACATCAAGGGCCTCAAACATGAGTTTTGGAGCCATTCTCTAGGGTAAGTCCCTGATCCTTTCTTGCATCCTCAAGTGGAAGAATTTCTGAGCAACTCCCTTGGAACCTTGATTGGTTGGATCAAAAATTCTCTAGATCTTTGCTGCTCTGACCTTTAAACAAAGAAATCCATGAGAATCTACAATGGCACTTCGACTTAGATGTCTCAGGAATTTCTGAGGATTTGGCAGAGACAGAGATCCATGGATCCAGTGAGGTAGGCCCCACTGGTGTTGGATGAACCTGTTTTGGAGGTGGTATCCTAATTTCTTCCAAAGATCACTGCAGAGAAAAAAATCTCCAGGAAGGATGGAGATTAGAATGTACACCTTGGAGTATTGGCTGAGCCATGTAAGGTTGGGAACTGGAAGACAAAAGTCTTCCCAAGATATCCTGATCACAGAGGATAAACCCCATTCCATTTCCTGTTCTGTGACACATCCCATTCCAGGGATGAATTTCTGATGGCATAAGACCCTGTGCCTCATTCTGGGGTTTACAAAAACACACTCCACAGACCCTAATCTGGGATAGAAGGCCAGGTGATAGGATTGGGAGTAGGGATTGAAATTGGGCCTAAAACCAGACCTGAGTGATGGTTAAGCACTGAGATTAGGGCAAGGACAGAAGTTGAGAATGGTTAAGTACTAGGGTTTCTTCAGTTATGAAGGCATTTGAGATTCTACTGAAGAACACAAATGTTGAACAGCCACTTGGGACAAGGACAATAGAGTGCAGGGACTCACTGTACAGAAAGAGGAGATGCCAGAAAAGCTGGATATATTTTTTGCTCTAAATTATCCTCAAAGGTCTCAGAATATAGGGGCTGCTGATGCACATGCTGCTCCTCTGATTTGCCTTTGCTGTTCCGAAACAGAAGGGAAACTGCTGTGTCATGCCCATTGGCAACTGATACATTTCCCCCGAAGAATTTAGTTGCTGGTTTGGCCAAAGTTGCTTGGGAAAAGAGCCTGTTTTCTTTTCCTTTTCCTTCCACATCAGGAAATCACCCCTCTTTTTAACCTGTCTCTCCAAGAGTGCCAAAATGTCAGAGTTGGGCAGGGAAAGGAAAACAGATACTACAAGGTTGGCTGTAGGGTCTCCCACAAATGAGGCCTCAGAAGAGTCGAGGGCAAGAAGCTCTTGCTTAGAATCACATTGTGCCAACTTGGAGGGGAATAAGTCCTGGGCATGAGGCTGCCACCCTGAGAATTCTGCACCAGCGAGGCTTGGAGGGTCAATGTCTCTGATTGTTGGGACATAAGTAGGCAATTCATCACCACTATCTGGAGAGGACATCTCCAGAACAAGCTTCAAAAGGTCGAAATAGAGTTAGATTGAATCACAGCTAAAGTGCCATCTGGCGGTGGTGAAGCAGACAGGGTTGGCAGTGCATGATGAGGAGCATGGGCATCAGCGGCATCCATGGTCTGGGATAAATTTGGTAAGGGGTTGATGCCTTGGGAAAGACTGGGTTCAAATACCATGGTGGCGCTGAGAGAGAAAGTGGCCTCTGGTTAGAGAACAGGAGATGCTGAGTGTGAAGTGGTGGGAGAGGGGAAATATGTATAAAGATTTACTTCATTATCACTGTTCAAAAACATGTTCCTGCCTTACAAGGTGTCCCCAGTTTGTTGCTGCACATGATTTCTTTTACTTTTCCACAAACTAGCTTACGGATAAAAGGTGACAACAAAGGTTTCTCTCATGTGAATTTTGTGATATGCAAGGACTGGTAATTTCTCTCAAGAGTTCATACCATGAATAAGCTACAGTGGGCTCTTTGTGGTGTAACAGAAATAGGTCACACATACAATGGCTCAAAGTTGTAGGTATTTATTTCTCACGTAAATTACAAACATAGGACTTTGGGATAGGAATGGGAAGACTACTTTTTCTAATCAATTCCTTTAGTCTTAAATCATAGTCATCTTCTCCTACCTATAGCTCCTGAGGCCACCATGAGGGTCATTTGCAAATCAGTCCCAGAGGACCCGAGAAAACAGGGATGACTGCATGGCAGTTTTTGTCTGATCTAGGCCTGCCTGGAAGTAATAATCATCACTTATATACATATTCCACTGCAAAATTCAGTTACATGGGCCCACTCACACTAAGGGGAGGCTGAGAAATGCAATGTGAGGTGTGTCCAAGAGAAAAAAGCAAATTCTGTAGAACACATAGCCAGTCTCCACCACACAGGATTTCTCTTCTGTATGAGTCCCCTGATACCTAAATTGTGACTTCAGCCAAAAGGTGTTCCTACATTCATTACATTCTTAGTGTTTCTCTCCTGTGTGAATTTCCCGATGCCTGAGGTTTGACATTTATATACTAAAAGGTTTTTCCAACATTCAGTACAGCCACAGGGTTTTTACCTGCATGAATTCTCTGACGGACAGATAGTAAGGCTTGACTTAAGGCTGAAAAAGTTCTCACATTGGTTAAATGCACAGGGTTTATCCACTGTACATATTCTCTAATGTACTGTAACATCTCTTTTGGTGATGGCATTTCACTGTCAATACATTAATAGGCCTTCTCACATGTGAGTTCTGTGATGCAGTGTGAGGGCTGACTTTTGGTAGAACGCTTTCCTACATTCTTTACATTCATATGGTTTCTTACCTCCATGAGTTCTCTGATGTCTATTGAGGGTTGACTTCTGGCAAAAGGTTTTCCCACATTCTATACATTCATAGGGCTTCTCCCCAGTGTGAATTCTTTCATGTATCTTGAGGGATGACTTCTGGTAGAATATTTTCCCACATTCATTACATTCATGGGATTTCTTCCCTGTGTGAGTTTTCTGATGTACAGTGAAAGATGATTTCTGGTAGGTTTCCCCACATTCATTAGATGCATAGGGTTTCTCTCCCATGTGAATTTTCTGATGCCTGCTATAGTTTGCCCTTTGGCGAAAGGTTTTTCCACATTCATTACATTCATAGGGTTTTTCCCCTGTGTGAGTTCTCTGGTGCGTAGTGAGGACTGACTTTTGGTAGAAGGATTTTCCACATTCATTACATTCATAAGGTTTCTCCCCTGTATGAGTACTCTGATGCATCCTGAGGTTTGACTTCTGGCTAAAGGATTTTCCACATTCATTACATTTGTAGGGTTTTTCCCCTGTGTGAATTCTCTGATGTGTAGTGAGAGCTGCCTTCTGGTAGAAGGTTTTCCCACATTCACTACATTCATACGGTTTTTCCCGTGTGTGTGTACCCTGATGCATCCTGAGATTTGCTTTTTGGCTGAAGGTTTTCCCACATTTATTACATTCATAAGGTTTTTCCCCAGTGTGAGTTCTCTGATGTATAGTAAGAACTGAATTCAGGCAAAAAGTTTTTCCACATTCATTACATTCATACGGTTTTTCCCCCGTGTGAGTTCTCTGATGTACTGTGAGTTTTGACTTCTGGGCAAAGTTTTTTCTACATTGTTTACATTCATATGGTTTCTCGCCTGTGTGAGTTCGCTGATGTACAGTCAGGGCTGATTTATTGTAGAAAGTTTTCCTACATTCTTTACATTCATATGGTTTCTCACCTGTGTGAGTTCTGTGGTGAACAGTGAGAACTGACTTCTGGTAAAAGGTTTCTCCACATTCATTACATTCATAGGGTTTCTCCCCTGTGTGAGTTCTCTGATGTACACCAAGGGCTGACTTCTGGTAGAAGGTTTTCCCACACTGAGCACATTCATAGGGTTTCTCTCCTGTGTGTATTCTCTGATGATAGATAAGGGCTGACATTTGGCAGAAAGATTCCCCACATTCATTACATCCATAGGGTTTTTCCCCTGTGTGGATTCTCTGATGGACAGTTAGGTTTGACTTTTGACGGAAAGATTTCTTACATTTGGTACATGCATAAGGTTTCTCCTGTGTATGTGTTTTCTGATGGTTTGTAAGGTATGATTTCTTAATGAAGGACTTCCCACATTCTTTACATTTATAAGGTTTCTCCCCAGAATGTATTTTATGATGTTTAGTAAGTTTAGACTTTTTATAGAAGGCTTTCCCACATACATTACATTCAAAAGTTATCTTCTGGGCAATGAGTGCTGACTTATCACAGTCTCCCTCATATTTATTATATTTACAGGATGTTTCTCCCACATAAACCCTCTTATGTATAATAAATATTGCTTCTGTGTTGAAGGCTTTTACTGGTCTACTATATTCAAAAAGCTGCTGCTCAGATTGCATCTTATGACGATGACAAAGATGTTTATCAGGTATAAGAGATTCCTCAGTTATACTTTGATCATCAGGTTTCTCTCCCACCTGCATCTCATCAGGTTCAATAGGGACAAACCCATTCTGATGTCCATCAAACTCCTCAGGACTCATCCCTGAATAGTTTCCATTATTTATCATCAGATCTGGAATATGGTTTGAGCTCAAATTAAGTGCTTCTCCTAATTCAACTCTCTCATTTGATGTTTTTCTGTTGGTCATTATACCTTGCCACAGATGCCTACTGTGAATTTCCTGGCTCCTCTCCATTATGTCATTGACTATCTGGACATCTGAAATTAGGAAAAACAAAAACAAAAAAACCCCACCATATCCATGATTCACACATAAGCATTTCTTATGGAATGCTCATGTAAAGGTAAAGAAGTTATTTTCCATGCTAGTGGCATAAAATTTTATAAAAATCAATAATCAGAACTGATTTTATAAGTACATGGTTGTTCTTCATACTGACTTCATGACGTAAGAAATTACATTAATAGATCTTCTAATCTGAATCATATTTTTCACTACTTAAGTTTAATTTTCTTTTTAAATTCATGAGGAAATATTTGTTTCAAATATTCACCTGCTGCCTAGTTGTAGTTTTCAACTAAGTAGTTATCAACTGACATTTGATTTCCCTGTTCTTTTTCTCTATTTTATTTTTGTAACAATGGGAGGTGCCTCATGCTGGTATTTTTTTCATTATTCTGCTTTGAAGATATTAAAGTATTCCTGAATTGGCCATCTGCAGGTGCAGAAGATAGCCTTTGCAAGTCACCTAAGCCAGAATATGGCTTTGGGACTGGGTTTTACACCAGTGTTTGTTTAGTTTTCGCTCTTTTTTGGGAACAGGTATACGCATCTAGGAGGTTTCAAATGTAAAATATCTTCTCCAAACTACATGAAGACTGCATCTTGCAAATTTCTGATTTAACCCAACTCCTTTTCCTTCTCAGAACTACAACAGATATATGAAGCTCCAGTCTCCCACACTGGGCACCTCATCCCTGCTAGTCTAAGTGATTGGGTTCTGCAACCCAGATTGTGCCCACTATATTTGAAAAATCTTTTCTCTAGCTCCTTCTGAAATCAACAGCTCTGGTGTTCTCTTCTCTACCCGCTCCTGGTACACCCACCCATGCCTGATAATTCACTGCTTTTGAAGGCATTCTGTGCTTGTGCATTATAATTTTAGTTGTCTCCAAGTTTCATTAAAAAAATGGAGTCCCCTGCAGATTCCTTGTCTTCTTTTTTGTTTTAGAATGATTTCCACAAAGATAAGGGGAAATGCCAACAACAGACTCCACTCTCAAGCAGAAATCTGGGCTCTTCCACATGAAACCCTTGCTTCAATAGGCCTTGGAACTAAGAATCTCCTGGTTCTCCCCCCAAGTCCAGGACTATCCTTTTCCATATGCCTATGCTGGGTATTCCTCAATGTCAGGATTTCTGATGTTATGGTACAGAAAACTCACTTCTGGACTTTTCTTATTAACTCCATAGGTAACCTTTATAATTATAATTCTGAATACTAGTGTTAAGTTACCAATTTCCAAATTTGTGTCTCTAATAGTGATGTCCACTCTCAAATATATATTTCATATTCACCTACTATATGTCAAAAGTAGAAAACAGTTAGCTCAATCTGAAGCTATGCCAAAGTAAACACTTAATAATCACTCTCAAACTGCCTTCTCTCACCATCCTTCCTAAATTACCACATCCCATTTTCTCTCTCACTATGGTTAAATAGTTCTCAAGGTTTTTATACAACTACTTAAGATATATTATTTTCCTCTTTCTTTCTCAACAGAATGTAAGCTTAAGCAAAAAGGGACAGTATTTTGATAATCACTGTTATAAGTACAACCATAAAATTACAAGTGCTAAAAAGCTGATAATTAAGATGTGCTGAAAGAAAGAATGAATAAATGTCTGAAAAAAACAGTCCATGACAATGGAGGAAGAGAGGGCAACAAGAACACTGAGAAAATGAATAGAAGAAAAAAAAGTCTAATAAGAGAAACATAGGGATTAGATTTTGAGTAAATATTTTAAAATATTCAGCAAAATAAAAGGCAGGGATATAGGCATGAGAGCTCTCCTTGAAGGTTATGTAATTCATATGCTTGATACATATATACCAGCTGTCCTCAGGTTAGAACCTGGGGTGGGGAGGGAATTGGTGAAAATAGGCTAACACTGCTAATATCTATTATGCATTGACCAACCTGGGAGGCTCTGGTTTGAGGACTCTTCTACCATCCACGGCTCTGCTCCTTGCTCCAACTTGAAGATCACCTCGGGTTTGGTAATGCAATGCCCTGGGAATGGGATATAATATAAGACTTGGCCAAACTGCTAAGTCAGATCCTTAACAGCTTGGGTTCAGGAGCTGTGAAATGAAGGGGCCGATCTGAACCTTTGTTACCGAGGGGCTGACACAATCTTCACAAACTAGAATGTTATACCTAAATACCATTAAGCCCTATTAAGGGTTCCTACACTTATCAACACAGAAGAGAGTGTCGCTCCTGGGAGCTACTGGGGAGTTTTGCTCACCCAAGGACACCAGGCTGCTGTACGTCTCCAGCATCACGTCCCTGTACAGGGTCTTCTGAGCATCATCCAGGTCCTGCCACTCCTCCCAGGTGAAGTCCACATCCACGTCCTCAAATGATACCAACCCCTGTAATGACACATTTCTCCTCAACTCAAGTCATCAGCCTGGCACACAAGTATAGGAATCTTGGAGTTCACTCTTTTGTGTGTGCATGTGTCTTATATGTATCTTACATAAGATGCAGCTTCTTGGCCGGGCACAGTGGCTCATGCCTGTAATCCTAGCACTCTGGGAGGCCGAGGCAGGTGGATTCCTCAAGGTCAGGAGTTCAAAACCAGCCTGAGCAAGAGTGAGACCTCGTCTCTACTATAAATAGAAAGAAATTAATTGGCCAACTAATATATATAGAAAAAATTAGCCGGACACGGTGGCACATGCCTGTAGTCCCAGCTACTTGGGAGGCTGAGGCAGCAGGATTGCTTGAGCCCAGGAGTTTGAGGTTGCTGTGAGCTAGGCTGACGCCACAGCACTCACTCTAGCCTAGGCAACAAAGAGAGACTCTGTCTCAAAAAAAAAAAAGATGCAGCTTCTTTGTATACTATATGGTAGGAGAAAGAACAATCACAAAATAGAAATATCCTGCCACTAATTGTTTTGTTAATAAGATACTATTACAAAGTTTGTCTTACAGATCTAGAATCATCCTTTTTGTAATGGACAAAAGTATGAATAAAATTCTGCTCCTCCAAGAAGTTTATGATCTAGTATGAAGACACAAGTAGAAATACATACTTAGAATAATATGGTTGATGATGTAATAGAGACACAAGATTAATGCAGACCGGGGTACGACAGGAGAAAATATAGTTCTATTCTGTATTATGAGGTTGCATTTCACTGAAAAAACAAATTGATTTTGTATCCTGAGACTTTACTGAATTCATTTCTCAATTCCAGGAGTCCCTTGTGAATCCTTGGGGTTTTCTAGATATAATATCATATCATCAGCAAAGAGTGAGAGTTTGAGCTCCTCTGCCCCCATTTGGACGCCATTAATTCCCCTCTCGTATAACTGCTCTAGCAAACACTTCCAGCACTATGTTGAATAGAAGTGGAGACAGTGGGCAACCCTGTCTGGTTCTAGTTCTAAGTGAGAATGGTTTCAACTTTTCCCCATTCAGTATGATATTGGCTGTGGGTTTATCATATATAGCCTTAATAATTTTAAGGTATGTCCCATCTATGCCTATTTTGTTAAGTGTTTTTATCATAAAGGTGTGCTGGACTTTGTCAAATGATTCTCTCCATCTATTGAGAGAATCATATGGTCTTTGTTCTTGCTTTTATTGTTATTGCTCTTCTGTGTGAATCATGTGTTCTCATAACTAGATTCCAGTCACGAGGACACAAGGAACACCCACCACATTAATGGAACTAAATAAAGCACTGTGTCTATGTGAATGATACCAGGCCACAGTGAGCGATAAACCAGTTCTTTCAATATTGAAAGAACTGATTATGGAGTGATTTTGCACTTAAATATTTCAGCTAATTCAAAAACCAAAATACTTTATGCACTTATTTTTTTACTTATAAATTAAAAGCATGTATATGGGCATCCCAAAATTTCCTTTCTACATGCCAAAAGACTGCTTGTGTCCACTCCAGAGTGAACTCTGTTACTTCCCAAACCACCGTGTGTAAATAATGAGGTCCTGTAAGAACAAGTATGTAAGATGACCAGATATACATTTTAACAATCATCCCCTAGAATGAGAAGGGAAAAGACTTAAGAGAGAGTCAGAGGTGAAGAAAACACGGAGACTAATAACCACCTATATCAGGACACAAAGCAGTAAGAATACAGAATAGGGAAGTAATCCTAAAACCGGAAAAAAGGAAAAGAAAAAACAGGAACATAATTTGGTACTAACTTGCTGTGCAGAGGGTAAAAAGAAGAGGTTTACTTCCAGACTATCTGCATGATCATGTCTTGGTAGGAACTGGTAAAGTGAAATTTGGAAAACTGAAGAATAATTGATGAGCTGAAGGGACAGACTTAGACACACCATATTTGAAATATCTAAGGTGCCATATTTGAGGTATCCAACTAGCAATTGGATATATGATTCTAGAATTCTGATAAGATCTAAGCAAAAGATAAAGATTTAGAAAGTATCAGAATTTCAATGGAAACTGAAGCTATCAGAGTGAATGAACCTAAGAGATTGAAAGAAAAACAGGAATTACAGAATCTGTAGAAACACTAATATTTAAAGAGAAAGAGAAACACACTGAAGAACAAGAGAAAAGCCTCTAAGTTTATCCCACAAAGAAACGCTCAATATTAAGTCATCTACTAATAAAATTCATCACATTCATCTATGAATTCATCACGTTCACAGATGAAGAAAAATCTTTGCTCATTCACACAAGACATTGACAAAGTATACTTAGAAATACATTCCTGGTTTCTATTTATGCATATAAGGAACCTGGAAGTCATCACTCCATCCTAACAACAAATGACAAGCTGAAGAGACTGAAAAAATCCACTCTTCTTGGATCTGTGAGAGAGGACACAGGACAAACTCTGCCCCCAAGGATCGACAGAGAGGCAAATGTAGAAAGTCATGGGTCACAGCACCGGAGATTCACTAGCAAACACTGCCATAGGAACCAGTGCAGGAGTAGGAAAAATATGAATTGTGACTAACGAATTGCTAGGGGCTTGGTGTGGACAACTTTGAGAGTTAAAAAACTTCAGGAGGGCCCCGTCATAGGGGGACTCCCACGATGTTGTGATATTTACCTCTAGGAGCTTGACTGGGCTCCTACAATAAATATTGGAGAAAACTCCCCTCCTGCTTCTACCTGCAAGAGGAGAAAAGGCAAATTATTTTAAATATGCAGAAGTATGGTCTTGTTTTTAACAAGACCTGCCCTCAAGAGAAACTACTTAATTAGAGCCTAATCTGGCATAGTATTACCACGGTTAATGACCTGGGTGAAGGCAAACACCCAACTCCAACTTACTCTATCATGTCCCACCTAAAATACAAGAAAAAAGACACAGAGTAACAACTGTGAAATTCACAGTCCAAAGAGAGGGGCACACTAAAAGAATGAGACCTATTGATAGGATTACAGAAATCTTTTCTTATAGTCTGAATGTCTGTGTCCCCCCAAAATCCATATATGGAAACCTAATCTACAATGCACTAGAATCAAGAGTGAGGCCCTTGGAAGGTGATTAGGTCACGAGGGAACAGTAGGGCTAATGCCCTTAAATAAAAAATAAGCTGAAGGGAGCCTTTTTCCCCTTCTACTATGTGAGGACACACACAGCAGGTGCCGTCTACGAGGAAAGGGCCCTCACCAGACAGTAAGTCTACTGGCAACTTGATCTTGAACTTTCCAGCCTCTGGCACTGTAAGAAATAAATTTATGTTTTTTTATAAATTACCCAGTACAAGGTACTTGGTTAGAGCTGCCTGAATAAACTAAGACAGCTACCCTTTCTCCAAACCTTAGCACATTACTGAAAGCATATATATAGCAGTTCCGTTCATCTGGTACATCTTTTCTGGCTATAAGGAAAAAAATTGCAGTGCATAATAAAAAACACAATTTGAAGTGACAGAGCAAGCATCAGAACAAGACATGGTTAGGATATTGGAATTATCACACAGGGAATTTGAAAAAAGTCTGAGTAATAAGCGAAAGGCTCTAATGGATAGAGTAAGTGCCGTTCAAGAACAGATTGACCAAATCAAAGGTCAATATAAGCAGAAAGACAGAAGTCCTAAGAAAAAAAATGGTAGAGATCAAAAATACTATAACAGAAACGAACAATGTCTTTGATTGGCTTATTTAAAGACTGGACATGGCTGAGGAAAGAATATGTGAGCTATGGATACATCAATAGAAAGTTCAAAAACTGAAAAATAAAGAGAAGAAACACTGAAAATAACAGAACGACATCCAAGAATGGTGGGACAACTATAAAAGTGGTAATACAGAATTGAAACAAAGTAATGATAATGAAAACATCAGAAGGGGAGGAGAAAGAAATGTTTGAAACAATGTCTCAGAACTTCTACAAATTAATGTCAGACACAAAATCAAAGGTCCAGGAAGCTCAGAGAACATCAAGCAGGGTAAATGTCAAACATCTCCAACTGGGCATATAATTTTTAAAATACAGGAAATCAAATATTAAGAGAAACAGAAAGCTGGGGAGGGAACACCTCACCTGCAGAGGAACAAAGATAATAATTGAATAAAACATCTCCTCAAAAACTTCTGTAAGCAAGAAGACAGTGGAGTGAAATATTCTATGTGTTAAAAAACAAAACCCACCAACCTAGAGTTCTGTACCCTCTAAAATCATCCTTCAAAAGTAAAGGCAAAATACTTCCTCAGACAAAAACTAAAAGAATTTGTTGCCAGTCAGTAGACCTATCTTGCAAGATATGTTAAAAGAAATCTTTCAGACAGAAGGAAAAGGTATAGGTCTGATTCATGGATCTATATGAAGAAAGGAAGAGCATTAAGGAGTAAGCGGAACAGGCACCATGGCTCACGCCTGTAGTACCAGCATTCTGGGAGGCCGAGGCGGGAGGATCGCTTGAGGCCAGGAGTTCAAGACCAGCCTGAGCAAGACCAAGACCCCGTCTCTAGTAAAAAGTAGAAAACAACTAGCCTGGCTTAGTGGTGTGTGCCTGTAGTGCCAGCTACTTGGGAGGCAAGACTCTGTCTCAAATAGACAGACACACACACACACACACACACACACACACACACACACACTCTCTCTCTCTCTCTCTCTCAGTTTTTTTTCTTTTTTTTTCCAGGGATCTTCCACTTCAGGAAAAATTTACCCTTTTCTTTTGAGAGAGGGACTCTCTGTCATCCAGGTTGGAGTGCAGTGGCCTGATCAGAGCTCACTGCATCCTCAAACTCCTGGGCTGAAGCAATTCTCCTGTCTCAGCCTCCAAAGTAGGTGGGACTACTGGTGCAAGCCACCATGCCCAGCTAATTTTTTGTATTTTTTGTAGAGACAAGGTCTCACTATGTGGCCCAGGCTGAGTTTTTCTTATTCTTAATCTAAAAGATAATAGTTTATACATATAATAGTGACAATGCATACAATCATATATGCTTTTATGCACATGTGCATACACGATTATGTTTGTATGTAATGACTTTTTAGATATAACACCAATGAAAGAAAGATCCATAAGATCCATGAAAGAAATGACTTATAAGTTAGATTTCATTAAAGGTAAAAACTTCAGCTCTGCAAAAGACAATGTCATAAGAATGAGAAGACAAGCTACACACAGATCTAGAGAAAATATCTGCAAGAGACACACACATTTGATAAAGGGATTATAATACAAAACATTCAAAGAACTCTTAAACTCTATAATAATAAAACAAACAACCTCCATAATACAATGGACCAAAGACCTTAACAGACACCTCACCAAGGATGATAAGCAGATGGGAAATAAACATATAAAAGGATAACATCAGGGGAACACAAATTATTAATAAAATAACAATAAGATACCACTAAATACCTAGCAGAGTGGCAAAAAGCTAGAGCATTGACAATAACAAATGCCAATGAGGATGCAGTGCATCAAAAACTCTCATTTATTAGTTGTGAAAATGCAAACTAGTACATCCACTTTGGAAGACAGTTTGTTGGTTTCTTACAAAACTAAACATACTCTTGTCATATAATTCAGCATCATGTTCCTTGGCATTTAGCCAAAGAGTTGAAAACTATTGCTAGCATAAAAACCTTTAAACAGGCCGGGCACGGTGGCCCACGCCTGTAATCCTAGCACTCTGGGAGGCCAAGGCAGGAGGATAACTTGAGGTCAGAAGTTCAAGATCAGCCTGAGCAAGGGCGAGACCCCATCTCTACTAAAAATAGAAAGAAATTAGCAGAACGACTAAAAAAAAAAAAAAAAATATTATTATATAAATATATATAAAATTAGCCAGGCATAGTGGCACATGCCTGTAGTCCCAGCTACTCGGAAGGCTGAGGCAGGAGGATCGCTTGAGCCCAGGAGTTTAGGGTTGCTGTGAGCTAAGCTGACACCACGGCACTCTAGCCCGAGCAACAGAGTGAGACTCTGTCTAAAAAAAAAAAAAAAGACTGCTACAGATTCTTACCATAACTCTGTCTCCAAAAAGTAGAGTTATGGTAAGAATCTGTAGCAGTCTTTTTTTTTTTTTTTTTTTTTTTTTTGAGACACAGTCTCACTCTGTTGCTTGGGCTAGAGTGCCGTGGCATCAGCCCAGCTCACAGCAACTTCAAACTCCTGGGCTCAAGTGATCCTCCAGCACAGTATACAGACAGTAGAATAAAATGAAGATGACAAAAGGAGGATTTATGTTTTTAAAGTCTCAGGACTTAACACCAGATGAGATTAGACCTGAGAAAGAGGAACGATCTGAAAGAATTACCATTTTAGGGCCTAGATCACTGGCTGAATGACAGTGATACCACATGTGAGGGAAGAGAGAAAGATGTGGTTTTCCCCTTGGATTTCTTGAGCTTGAGGCGCCTTCTGGATAACCACAAAGGAGTATTCAACAGAGAGCTGAGCCTATGGTCTGAAGACTGGGGAGGAGGTCTGGCTGGAGAGAGACAGGACCGCCAAGCCGCAGAGAGCTGAACTGGTCAAACAGAACTGCCCAGTGGGACAAATAGGGAATTGGATGGAACATTTGCATGAGCTACGTTACTGAGAAGAAAATAGAATTCAGGGAAACAGAAATCATCAGTGAGGTCATGACAGGAACTAACACAGAAGAATTTCCAGGAGAAGATCATGAACGGTAGCTTGAAATACAGTAATCCCCCCTTAATCCTGGGGGATACATTCCAGGCAGGTCCTCCAGGGGATACCTGAAACCACGTATAGTACCAAAACTCTGTATATACTATGTTTTCTCCTATACAAACATACCTATGATAATTTAATTTATAAATTAGGCAGAGTAAGATACAAATAATAATAAAAAATAGAACAATTACAACAATTTACTGTACTAAAAGCCATGTGAATGTGCTCTCTCCCTCTCTCAAAATACCTTATTGTGCTGTACTCACCTGTTCTCTGACTGTGGCCAGTCATGGGTAACTAATACTGCAGACAGTGAACCTACACAGGGGGCTACGATATGGCAGAAGGTTCAAGCAGAGCAGACAAGAGGATAGTCACTGGATTTGACTATGATTTAGGTTATTGGTGAGCTTTAGAAGAAATGAATTAAGACTACAATAGTAGGTTAAAGTGCAAATAAGCACTTTAATTGCTAGAAAATACTATTTTCAACGGTCTCCTACACACCCTGCACATACAGACGAGCTGAGAGAAATGCATGGAGATGTATCTAAGGACCTGTGATTGACTCAGTCCTCCACACATTCCAGGTTTTATCTGTTAATCAAGTAGGGTCTTCCAAAAACCGTCGGGGACCACAATGTTTTATCTACTCCATAAAAACCTTATTAAGAGAGTTGTGCTTTAGCACTAGGTAACCATTTCCATTGCAGAATGCTAAGTGCTTATTTCCAGGTTGGTAGTGAAAACCTTTCCATCATATCATCTATGTGACCAATAAAGTCAGTGTTTCAGACTTTAGCAAGCAATTCCGCATTTTCCCTTCTCGAGTTCCATTCCATTCAGGTAACAAATCTGTCTGTCTGCCATTGCATCAGAAAGACAAAAGACAAATTCGTACTCAGTTTAAATAACTCTAAGGTCTTAAAATCTGCATGTATCTACATGCTAACATTATGTTATTTATATACATTTCCTTCAAGCTGAGGTTTAACTACTTCTCTTTTTCCATTTTAATTCATGGACCCCATACATAAAATACAATGTAACAGTGAGGAATAAATAAATACATAACTCACCAGAGATTTATTCATCTTCTGTTGCTCTTGGAAATTCACAGAGCACTCTGGAAGTACATCTGGGAAAGAAGTTGAATGGAGTGGATTAAGGAACAAACTAGTTTGGCTTGGTCCTAGATTATCTTGCCCAAAACTCTCTACACATTAGCTGGGAAAAGATAAAACCTCCCTGTGACAGAATAGTCCTTTTTTTGTTTTGTTTTGTTTTTTGAGACAGAGTCTCACTCTGTTGCCCAGGCTAGAGTATGGTGGCGTCAGCCTAGCTCACAGCAACCTCCTGGACTCAAGTCCAGCAAACTCCTGGACTCAAGCGACCCTCTTCCCTCAGCCTCCCAAGTAGCTGGGACTACAGGCATGTGTCACTCTGCTCAGATAATTTTTTTTCTATTTTTAGTTGTTCTGCTAATTTCTTTCTATTTATAGTAGAGATGGGGTCTCACTCTTGCTCAGGTTGGTCTCAAACTCCTGAGCTCAAGCAGTCCTCCTGCCTCGGCCTCCCAGAGTGCTAGGATTACAGGCGTGAGCCACCACATCCAGCCTAGTCCTTTTAATAAAGGGCAACAAAGATTCCACTGAAGATGTACCCACAAGTACATTAATTGGTAGAGATTAGACTATTTGGGGTTAATGAAAATAAACATTATCTACTGATTTAGCAACAATGAATATTACATAAAGATATAATTTACCAATGTAAGCCAAAGAAACACTAAATCTTCACTACAATTAATATTACAGAAATATACTTGGGCTGCATTAACTATTTCTCTATTAATAGGAAATTTTACACGATTCCATATGAGTGTTTGCACTACAACACATCTTGCTTTTCTCTACCTAAACATCATGGAAAGTATGCATCTTGCAACCCAACATTCTTTGTCTATGATTATATAGAAAAAAATGTACCTATTGAATATTTCTTGTGGTACAATGTTCCGGTAGTATTTCCCAACAACCTGTCTCCCTATATCCAATGCCTGACATAGTATAATCTGATGATAAATTAGGCTTTGCCATTTGACTTGCTTTGGTCAACAGGACATTAGAAAATGTGATGGCAAAGTACTTGCCCACTGGTGTTTGCCTTCTTGGACACAGTCATACTAGCAAGAAGCCTAGGGTTAATTTGTTGGAGATGCAGGATCTAGCCAAGGTCAGCACAAACCACCAAATATGTAAGGAAGCCACCCTGAACCAACCAGCCTCAGTCAAGGTGCCAGATGACTAAATTCTCATTTGTGATCCAGGCAACACTAGCATAGAAAATGCCAAGATGAACATGTGCCAAAACATGGATCCACAGAACTTCAATCAAATAAAATGGTTGTTTTTGTTAAGCCAGTAAGTGTTTTTTTCTATATATATTTTAGTTGTCCAATTAATTTCTTTCTATTTTTAGTAGAGACGGGGTCTCACTCTTGCTCAGGCTGGTTTCGAACTCCAGACCTTGAGTGATCCTCCCACCTCAGCCTCCCAGAGTGCTAGGATTACAGGCGTGAGCCACCGTGCCGGGCCACAAGCCAGTAAGTTTTGGTTGGTTCCTTACACAGCAAATGCTAACTGATACATCTAAGCCACCAGAACTCAGTGTTTTTAAAGAAAATTATGAGAGGAAAAAAGTCTTAAATTATATGTCAAATACAATCAATAAAACTTCATAACCACATGTAAAAGTTTTGCAAATCAAAATGAATGTCAACTTGATGGACTTCATGGAGGTTGCTGGTTTTTAATGGAGAACATGTGACTCATACAAAGTAACTGCATGCCAGAAGGCTACATTTTAAGTTTTTTATATCATAAAATAGTCTGTTTACTTTAAAAAACATAAAATAGTCTATTACTTATAAGTGAGCACTGTAAGAAACTGGCTAAAGTAGAAGTGTGATGGAGTCTAATTTTCCTATTTTAAATAATGTAAAATAGGCTCCTAGTGTTTTCCTGCAGGCTTTATAACTTTCAAGAACAGATTACTAACATTAAGTGCGAAACACTTGCGTTATTTACCCTTTGAGATCGCAATCTGTAGAAAGTGTCCGGGATAGAAAAGAACAGGAATGTTTAAGGCAAGGTATTTGAAAGCAATGTTTATTCTAAGTTGACTTCAGTGCCACAACAATAATCTCAAAAATAAACAAACACTTGTTTTGACTTAATTGTGGCAAAAGGGTAACACCAACAAAAAGTCAAGATGCCTAACATCTACAAATCACATGACTCTGGCAAGTCATGTGATTGACTTGACATCTCAAATCCAATTTTTTTCATCTTTTTTATAAGGGAGAAAGAAATACCGTGGCAGGCCAGGTACGGTGGCTCATGCCTGTAATCCTAGAACTCTAGGAGACCAAGTCATGAAGATCACTTTAAAGCCAGGAGTTTGAGAACAGCCTGAGAAAGAGCAAGACCCCACCTCTACAAAAAATAGAAAAATTAGCCAGGCATCGTGGCATGCACGTGGAGTCCCAGCTACTCAGGAGCAGGAAGCTAGAGGATCCCTTGAGCCCAGGAGTTTGAAGTTGCTGTGAGCTAGGCTGACGCCACTGTACGCTAGCCAGGAAAAGAGAGCAAGACTCTGTCTCAAAAAAAAAAAAGCCATGGCAAACCCTTACTGAAGTATAAGGAAGAGCTATCAGGATAGAGAGAACATCAGCATATTTCTATGTGCAAAATTTGGTGATAGCATATGAAAGCAATGAGAGGAGATTTAAAAAATGTCTTTGGAGAGCACTGTAGACAGATCCTCTCAGGTATGGCAGATTATTTTTCCACCTCAGACCACACCTTCCAATAAGCAATATCTCCTAGGCCCTTGCCTATCCTCCTCAGCCAAACTGAGCTCTCCCTTCTGAAACTTGGTCCAAATCTTCCAATATCAACCCGTCTTTTTTTTTTTTTTTTAGTCTATCACATCTTGTCATGACAAGTTACTGACATGACTCAATATTAGGTCTGATAAACTTTTAGAGCAATATTTTTTTTTATTTTAGTGTATTATGGGGGTGCAAGTGTTAAGGTTACATCAACCAGTCTTTGATAGCTACCAAATCTTGCTATATTCTAGGGAGAAAGATCAGTAATTCCTGGAACCATGCAAAGCTAGGCTCTTCGCCTGTTTGTGACCTCTTTTCCTCTGCTCTGAAGTCCTAGTAAGAGGGCTCAGGCCAGAAGGGTGTGTTCCTTCAGGTGAGATTCCTATTCATAGATCACCCTGCTACAAACTGTAACACCTACTTTATTCCAAAGAAAATCAGACAACCATCTGGGACCTCAATCTCCCTCGTAGAACTCAATGTCCCTGGAAACTAGGTCTTGTGTAAATGTCTACAAACCACACACCAAGAGGGCTAGACGGGCTTGGTGGCTAGACGGACAAGCTAGACGGCTTGTCTCTAGACACAAGCAGAAGGAGACCAGATGAGACACTTGCTGAGGAGAGACACCACAAAACCCCACAAATACAACCGCGACACAGTAAGACTGGGTCTGCACACCCTTCACAATTACTTCTCTGGGAAATGAGGGGCATTTCACTAATAATAGTGTTAACACGCCCACCTAACACCTGTGCAAACTGAGTTTCGCGTAGATTAGTAACAGGGTCCGACAGCGGCGGAGCTGAAACGTGACTCACACCGCAGACCACCCAGGCTCGCGGTCTGCAGACCCCGCCCCATCCCGCTCGACATCTCGCACCCGACCACCCCACCGGAGACCTTCTGGAAGCAGCCTCGGTACCTCCGGAAGGCCACACCTGGCCTCCAGGATCCCCCGAGGCCCGCGCGCTCCTCTTCCACGCTCGCGCCAACCTTCAGGAACGCACAATCGAGCCCCAGACTTGCCCAGCGACAGCGGGAGAGACGCGGAGACAGGAACTTCCGGCGGAAGATGGCGGGAGTGGGCGGGGAGACGCATGCGTAGACAGATCCAGGAAGACGCCCCCCCCTTCCCACGGCCCCGGCCTGGAAACGGCATTTGAGTGGAGACTACACTTCCCAGAAGACACTGCGGCCCTCCGTTAGGAACCGGCGCGGGAAGATTTGTTTGTTTGTTTCCGCAGCAGGAAGTCCTGTTACCAGGAGACCCGGCCCTGAGGGGACGCGACAGAGATGCGGCATTCTGGTTATTTATTCCAGCGTCGCTTGACAACCTGGGACCTTGAAAGAATAATTCGGGCAAATTCCAATGTGGGTCAGTTAGTCCATGCCATTAGTGAGTGACCTTCTAGAATTCTGATATAGGTGTCGCTGTTCTGGAACCCACGTCTGTTTTTAATATGCGTTCTAAAGCATGAAAAAAATCATGTCTCTGGCCAGGCGGTGCTCACGCCTGTAATCCTAGCACTCTGGGAGGCCGACGTGGGAGGATGTCTCCAGGTCAGGAGTTCGAAACCAGCCTGAGCAAGAGCAAGACCCCGTTTCTGCTTAAAAAAAAAAAAACATAGAAATTAATTGGCCAACTAAAAAGATATAGAAAAAGCTAGCCAGGCATGGTGGTACATGTCTGTAGTCCCAGCTACTCGGGAGGCTGAGGCAGGAGGATCGCTTGAGCCCAGGAGTTTGAGGTTGCTGTGAGCTAGTCTGACGCCACGGCACTTCATTCTGGGCAACAGAGTGAGACTGTGTTCAAAAAAAAAAAAAATCATGTCTCTGTTTTGCTTTAGATTTGTTAACAATAAATTAATATGGCAACTCTCTTCCAACCGATTAAAAGATATTTGTCCTCACCCCGTGTGCTAATTTGTGAGTTTTCATGATACTATATTTTACAGTTGGAGACTGCTCTACTGTATATACTGGAATAAAGTAGCAGGATCATAGGTAGATGCACTCCATAATCCTTGTGCCAATTTACACTTCAAATGTCTGATAATAAAATTTGACAGAGACTCTCAAGATCCATGCATCCATCATCTGTCCATCATCCACCCATCTATTTATTAATCCAATCTTTAGTTATTTGTTGTTTGTTTGTGAAATGTGCCTGGACTTTGCCCTTTCTTCCCTGATTTTTGCCACAAACTAGGCAAGGAGTTCTGCATAGCAGTTTCTCAGAGCTTCCACTACCACTGAAGTTCCTCTTCAGACAGGGAAATGCCCAACTGCAGATATCAGGGTTGACTTGGACTTGGATGGTGGAATGGGGGGTGGGGTGAAAGGGGAGTGAAGTTTGAGGGGGTGGATAGAGGGAATGAGAGGCTTGACTCTCGCCCAAGACCTGTCCCCTGGTGTTCTCTTTTCCTAATGTATGCCCTGCCTTGTTCAAATTCCTCTGTGTTCTCTGATCCTATAATTGCCCCTCAGTAACTCACTTCATTTGGCAGATACAGGAAACTCAGCCTTGACCTTCCCAGAGCTCTCTTGCCCTAAACTTTGGAATCCCTAGCTTCCCTTCCTCAGGCACCTGGATCCCAGGCCTCTTTTTTAAACATATATTGTGATGTTATCTGGGAATCCTCTAAATACAGGATGATTGACAGGGGTTGGGTGAGGGAAATCAGTGCCTGATATTTCGCCCTCCTAGGATATGGATTGTCATTTCCTCTCTTTGTGGGCCTTAGTCCTCTATCTGTAAAAATGGAGATAGTGATACACATTTGAATGTGTAGGTCTCACCCTGAGCCCACCTCTAATAGTATAAAGGCCAAGAATGCAATCCCGTTCCTCCTCAAGGTAAAGTCCCCAGAGCCAAGGTGAAGAGGCTCAGGGATGATACCTAGCTGTTTCCAACACTAGCTATATATTGTAGTTTCCAGTTTTTAAGTTTACACATCTTTTGTTAAGTTTTTCATAAGTATTTTACTTTTGATTTTATCATAACTAGAGTTGTTTCCTTAAATTTATGTTTGGATTGTTCAATTCTTGTGTACAGAAACGCAGTTCACTTTTGTATGTTGATCTTTTATGCTATTGCTTTCCTCAACTCTTTTTTATTCTAATACCTTTTAGTGAATTACTTATGATTTTCTAAATACAGGATCATGTCACCTGCAAATAAAGATAATTGTACTTCCTTTCTAACCTATATGTCTTTCTTTTATTTGTGTTGCCAGATTGTCCTGGCTAGCACCTCCAGTACAATGATGAATAGATGTGATGAGAGTGGATATATTTAGTCTTCTCTTTTTTTGTTCTTGATCAATCTAGGTAAGTATTGGTAGACTTTCCTGCAGAAACTGAAAACTATCCTCTGTAAGTGAAGGGGAAGCTCAAACCAAAGAATGATGTAGACCACTTCCAGGTTAGTATTAGTCAAAGACTTATTTGGGGGAAATTACATATGAGACAGCCTTGGGTGGCATAAAGCAAGATAAAGTAGATCTTCACATTTGCAATGTATGCCTACCTAACCTTTTATACCATGGAAGAAAAAGAATAGGGAAAAAAGAAAACAGTCACTGACAGTGTGTTAAGCCATGTGATTGCTTTCTTAATTTATTACTTTCTACCTAAAGGGATTGTTTAGGCTCTCTGGTCAACATTTTTAAGATAAGGGGTATGTTCCTAGCAACAGCAGTTATCTTGGTCCTCCAGTCACTGCATCCTGAAACTCACTTCTCAATCACACCCAAAATACATTTTCACCACAGTAAAGGTTGGTCAGTTTTGTTGAGCTTTTATTAACATACTTTAGTTTCATTGTTTTTCTCTGTTGCTTTTCTATTTTCTATTTCATTGGTTTCTGCTGTAATTCTTATTATTTCCTCCCTTCTGCTTAGTTTAGATTCCATTTACTCTTCTTTTTCCAGTGTCTTTAGGTGGAAGGTTACGTTATTAATTTGAAATATTTTTTATTACTATAGGTATTCATAGCTTTAAATTTCCCTTAAGCATGGCTTTAGCTGTCTTCCATAGATTTGTCAGTTGTGTCTTCATTCATCTCAGTGTATGTTCAAATTTCCCTTTTGGTTTCTTCTTTGTCCTGTTGGTAATTTAAGAGTGTTCTGTTTAATTTCCACATATTTGAGTTTCCCTAATTTTTTCTGTTAATTTGAAGGTTCACTCTATTGTGACTAGAGCACATGCTGTTCTGATTCCTTTAATAGCTTAGCATAAAGTCTATTATTGAGAATGCTCATGCACTTGAGAAGAATGTATCTTCTGCTGTCATTGGGCAGAATGTTTTCTACATGTTTTTCAGGTCTAGTGCGATCATGAAATTGTTTATGTCTTCTGTTTCCTTGTTGCTGTCTGCCTAGTTATTCATCCTTTATTGAAAGTGGGGTATCAAATTCTCTAACCATTATTCTTGAATTTTCTATTTTCAATTAATTGACCTTAATTGCTGTCAGTTTTTGCTTCATGTACCTTGGTGATATTTAATTAGGTGCATGAATGTTTATACTTGTTCTTTCTTACTGTTGGATTGACCATTTTATCATTGTAAAATGTCCCACATTATCTCTAAAACTTCTTTTGTTTGTCTGTTATTAGTATAGCTATTTTAGCATAGCTTTCTTGGGGTTTTTCTTTGCATGATATATTTCCATCCTTTTACTCTCAAACTATTTGTATCTTTGAATATAAAATATTACTCCTATAGACAGCATAGAGGTGGATCTTATTTTTGATTGTCTCAAAATAATTAACTTTTGATTAGGTTGTTAAATCAAAAAGTTGTTTTTTAAATCGTTGATACTGTTGGATTTGTGTCTGCCATTTAATGTTTGTTTTAATCCATCCCATGTCCTTTTAATTCCTCAGTTCCTCTTTTATGCTTCCTTTTACAGCAAGTATTTCCTAACATAGCATTTAAATTTTTGGAATGATTTTATCTATTTATTAATTTATTTAAACTCATGAGGTAAAACAGTATAATGGTCTTTAGCACTGTATTTTTTGCTTATTGCTGTAATCAGTGTTCTTGGGCTTTTATTACACATCTTAACGGATCAGAATGAGCTTCAGATTTGTGCCAATTCAGATTAATCCCAGTTAGACATAGAAACATTACCCAACCCGCATCCTTGGGGCCACACAAGCCTTCTGGATCCTTGAGTGCAGCCTTTTGACTGAATCCATAAAGGGATTTGCTCTGTGAAGTTTATGTTGGTCGAGGGACCATGCCTGGGGGTCTGTAGGCCATGTATGGCCCTGAGGCCACAGGTTGCCCACCCTGCATCTGCATATAGCTTTATACCACTATGTAGTTCTGTACTTTTCTCTATGTACCTTTCAAAGGTACTATTCTTATATATCTTAAATCTACATCCTACAAACTCAACAATACATTGTTACAATTATTACTTCATATAACTTTACACCTCTAAAGAAGCTGAAAGGAGAAAGAAAAGCAGGTTGATAGGTAGAATTTTGTTTTATTAACCTTATTTATCATTTATGGTTCTTGTCATTTGTTTTTATAGATTTGAATTACCTGGAGTCTGACATATGGAGTTATTTTCTTAACCCAATACAGCTTTTCTCCCACCCACCTAATCTGTTCTGTTATTGGCAAACATATTTCAATTCTGTATGCCACAGGACAAACAATGCATTGCATATATACCATTTGATACAATTTCTTTCTAAATCAGTTAAAATATAGAAAATGTGCATTTATACTGTCTATTATTTTCATAATATAAAACTAGTATGTTTATAGTTTCATATTTACCTTTACTAGTGCCCTGCATTTTTGTGTGTGTGCAAATGTGAATTATTTTCTGGGTCATCGCTTTCTGCCTGAATAACTTCTTTTAATATTTCTTGTAAGGCAGGTCTTCCAGAAACAAATTCTCTCAGTTTTGTTAATCTGGATATGTCTTTATTTCATCCTTATTTTTGAACCACAGCCATACTGGATATAGGGTTATTTTCTTTAGAAGTTGGATGTGTTGTCATACTTCTTTCTGGCCTCTATTGTTTATGTTGAGAAGTCAGTTGTTAATATTGTCAGGGTTCCCATTTAAGGGTTTTAAAGGATCTCTTTTAAATTCAAAGGGTTCCTTTTTTCTCTCTCACTTCCTGCTTTGAACATTTCCTACGTGTCTTTAACTTTCAGCACCACTAATATGGATGTGTCTGTGAATCTCTAAGTTTATCCTAATTGGGCCAGGCGTGGTGGCTCATGCCTGTAATCCTAACTCTCTGGGAGGCCGAGACGGGTGGATTGCTCAAGGTCAGGAGTTTGAAACCAGCCTGAGCAAGAGCAAGACCCCGTCTCTACTATAAATAGAAACAAATTAATTGGCCAACTAATATATATAGAAAAAATTAGCCGGACATGGTGGCACATGCCTGTAGTCCCAGCTACTCGGGAGGCTGAGGCAGGAGGATCGCCTGAGCCCAGGAGTTTGAGGTTGCTGTGAGCTAGGCTGACGCCACGGCACTCACTCTAGCCTGGGCAACAAAGCGAGACTCTGTCTCAAAAAAATAAATGTTTATCCTAATTGAAGTTCGCTGGGTTCCGGCATGTAAAACTTTATTAGCTGTATGACCTTGGACCATTTCCAGAGACTTTAAATGGTTGTTTTTCTTTTGTATAGTTTTTGGAATTTTCATCAATTTTCAGAAGAGAACTTATTTCTGACTCACCTTCCTGTGCATGTCAATGACGTGTGTGTGGTGCTCCACAAAGTGACTTGGGAACTTAGGCTGTTGCTGGCTCCAACAGCTTCCCCATCTGGGGCACATGCCAGGTTGAACACTTGCTGTTCTATGCTGTTTGTGGCAGTGATTCATCGTCCCAAACTAGCCCTCTGGCTCTGCCTAACTTGCAAGGGAGCTTGGAAACGTGAGGACCAGATGGAATGTTTAGCACTTTCTTCAACACACTTAGCATGGGCCCAGCTCCTCCTCCCCATCCATGGTAGCAGGAGATCAGGAGAGTAAAGCATCACAATTGCTTCCACTGCTTTCTACAAGTCCTGGAGGAAGATGCTCCTGGACAGGAGCCCTATTGCCACTAAGCAAAATCCAGGTGCAAGATGATGCAGAAAGAGGAACACAGGTATTTGATGGGGTAGTTGGGACTAATGGGGCTGCCTGCTCTCGAGAGGACTACAACATTATGAACTTAGGTAGGGAGTGCTCATTGACAGTGTTGAGGCCGGAGAGAAGCAGAGTTGAAGGGATCCTGAATTTCAATGTCAGATCCCAGAGGAGATAGGGAGGATGGTTCTCCCTGAAGACAGGACTTCCTCCTCAGACCCATCCCAGTTTGATCCAGGCAGGAATTTTTGCTCTTTATGTGACAGGAAAGCCCCCAGGAGGAGAAGCCCCATACCCAGTTGGATAGATCCGAAGTCAGATCTGCCATTCTCACTAGAGGATTGTTGAGAAAACAGACCTGCATAGCGGCAGACAGATCTCATGTCAGCTATCCATGTTAATCCATGGAGGACATGGATAATTCAGATGACATAAAGAATTCAAAGTAACATCTTCAGATTGATTTGACAGGATCTTAGGACCATAAGCAAAATAATAAGGAGGTATAAGAGGAAAAATCACTAAAGGAGAAATATTTTTCTTTTTGAGACAGTGTGTCATTCTCTCACCCAGGCTGGAGTGCAGTGGTGCAATCACAGCTCATTACAACCTCCAACTCCAAGGCTCAAGTGGTCCTCCTGCCTTAGCCTCCAGAGTAGCTGGGACTAGAGGCATGCATTACCATGTCTGGCAATTTTTTTTTTTTTTCATACAGACATGGTTTCACTATATTTCCCAGGCTGGTCTTTAACTCCTGGCCTCAAGCAATCCTCCCACCTCAGCCTTCCAAAGTGTGGGATTACTGGCATCAGCCACCACACCCAAAAGGATTTTTTAAGAATTAAAAATTTGTTATCCTGGCCAGGCATGGTAGCTCACACCTGTAATCCTAGCACCCTGGGTGGCCGAGGCGGGCAGATTATTTGAGCTCAGGAGTTCGAGACCAGCCTGAGCAAGAGCGAGACCCCGTCTCTACCAAAAATAAAAAAGTAGCCAGACGTCACGGTGAGTGCCTGTGGTCCCAGCTACTTGGGAGGCTCAGGCAGGATTGCTTTAGCCCTGGAGTTGGAGACTGCAGTGAGCTAATGATGATGCCACTGCACTCTAGCCAGGGTGACGGGGCAAGACTATCTCAAAAAAATAAATAAGAAAAAACGACTATCAAGCCCTTAAGGGGATAAACATGGATCTTGAAAGACCCTCTCTTTTAGAGAGGCAGTGTAGGATGGTAGCTTACAGTTTTGGCTGTGGAGCAAGATCACCTGGAATCAGCTCAGAGGAGCCCTATTACTTGCTATCTGCATGGCCCTGGGTAAATTATGAAGAGCTGTGGGCTCCATTTATTCATTAGTAAAGTGGGTTGCTGTGAGGATTAAATGAGTTAATGTAAAGTGCACAGGACATGGAGTGCTTGGGCCATGGCAAGAACTCAATGAAAAGTAATTACTTATGTTGTATCCTTAAATGAGTAAAGCATGTTATGGGAGTGTCTGTAGATGATGATCCTATTTTTGCTTCCTACATAATATATGCACATCACATATTTGCACTAATGTGTTGATGCACTTGTTAGAAGGTCCTGGGGCTTCAGATGATTTAGTAAAATCATTTATTCAATCAAGCACTTGGATTCTGCCAGTCCACTTTGAATCCTTTCCACTGTCTTGTGCATTCTTTCACATATTAATTGGTTGAACACATATTTACAGAGTATAACGTGTCAGGAGAGAACAAGACAGTCACCACAGTCACAGAGAAGAGGCTCCCTGGGAGGAAGACCTGCCACTCAATGGGCACATAATGAATCCCTTACTTGCAAATGCAGCGAGAGCTAGAGAGGGCAGTACAGCCTCCTCTGGAGCATAGGAGCAGCCCAACCTGTGTCCAGCAGGACCTGCAAGAAGTCACATGGGAGTGACTGCTGAAAGATAAGCAGGGGTTCCCAGAGGAAAGGGGTCTTCTGGCAAGGGGGCAGAAAGTATGAAGGCCTCAAGGCAACAAAGGCCCCGGAGTGGACAAGAATGTTAGAAGTCCAGAGAAAAGCAAGGAGACCAGGTGACAGAGGAAATCCCTTATGGAAGCAGAAAGCCATACACAAAACAAACAGCCATATATAAGGGATTTAAATGGTGGTGAAACTTGATTAAATGTAGGGTTTTTATATAGTCTCACTGCTGTCCAATGGGGAATGGACCAGCTGGCACTAGAGTGACTCAGGGACCCTGCCTAGGGGTCCTTGTGGTCATCCAGGGGACAAGTGAGGGTAGCTGGGATGAGGGTGGAGGATCTGGACATAGAAATTGATGGCCTTATAGACAATCTAACTTAAATATAGAGACTCTCCCAATTGAGCCTCATTAGAAGGGAATGCAACTCAAAACAAGGTGGCATAGCAAAGTAAACACATGCGGTACTGGGAAGACAAGCAGCCTGCACCAAAACCTTCTAAAGAGCAGTAATAAATACACTGTTCAAGATGTGCTCCCTAACTGTACGTGCTGCCTCCCAGAAAGAACATCCTACTGATATGACAACTTACCAACATACAAAATAATTTCCTTCAAATGATGATTGATAAATATCTTTATTTCTAGTGCTTAGAGTTATTCACAAAGCAGTAACAGCCATCCTTGAAGCAATTACTGAATAATAGTAGTTCTACACTGTAATTGCAGTATTTCAGAAGTGAAAACCTATCATAAAATAAACCTGAGTTAACATGCCCTCTGGCCAGGTGCGGTGGCTCACGCCTGTAATCCCAGCACTCTGGAAGGCTGAGGCGGGAGGATCGCTTGAGCCCAGGAGTTTGAGACCAGCCTCAGCAAGAGCGACACCCCATCTCTACTATAAATAGAAAGAAATTAGCCGAACAACTGAAAACAGAAAATATTAGCCAGGCACGGTGGCGCGTGCCTGTAGTCCCAGCTACTCGGGAGGCTGAGGCAGGAGGATCACTTGAGCCCAGGAGTTTGAGGTTGCTGTGAGCTAGGCTGACGCCACAGCACTCTAGCCTGGGCAACAGAGTGAGATTCTGTCTGAAAAAAAAATAGTCAGTAGTGGTTATAAACCAGGCCCTCAGTCATACGTCCTCAAGTAAACAAATTCAACCCAAAACTGAACAAGCTGGGAAGCCGTTTTCCACAATCGAGCCTCCTGCTGAGGGTGCAGAGGCTGCTCACTCTGCAGCCTCCTGAGACCCTCAGCTCAGCCACACCAGCTCCAGACCCACAGAGCCTGTGAGGTGGTAACTGTGGGTTGTTTTGAGCCAACGTGTTGGTGGCTGTTTCTCATGCAACAACAGAACCCTATTTCTCTGCATAAATGTCCCCAAACAGAGCAGTTCCTGGATGGCCTGTTTCGGTGCCCTCCACATCACCACTGACACGGGTTCCAGTGCATTCTGCCCTGCCATTCTCAGGACTTCAGAGCCACAAGAGGAAACAAGAGACATGACCACCAAGATCAATATCCTGCCACATGAGAACAATCTTTTCGATGTATGTCTTTTCCTTGGAGGGGACTTTTCCAGATATCCCATAGAATCCTCCTAACATGTCACTGGACAGAACCGGGACACATGCACAAGCAGAAACGACTACAGAAAGATTATTCTCAGCCAATCGTAAGAAATTCAACCAAGATAAAAGTGGCTAATATAACCAAATCTAGACTTTTGTCAAAAAGTTGAGGATGGCTCTTATGTAGCCAAACAGACGTTATGACCTATAAGTTCCTTAATTTTCTAAATTATGATAAACATTACCATATCTACATCTGCTGGTATTTTGAATACCTAGAACTGAGTAATCTATAAGAAATGAACTTTTTCCAATTCTGGAGGCTGGGAAGTCAAGGGAATAGCTTGGTATCTGGTGAGGCCTTCTTTCTCAGGATGCTCCAGGGTGCAGAGGTGGTGCAGAACATCCTAGCAGACCAGCTCAGGCAAATTCCTTTTCTTATAAAGCTACCAGTCCCACTCCCATGATAACCCACTATTTTCCATGAATGGATAAATCCACTCATGAGAGAGGGGCCCTCAAACTTTTTAAACAGGGGGCCAGCTCACTGTCCCTCAGACCATTGGAGGGCCGTTGGAGAGCGCGGCGCACATTCAACACATGTGCACTGTGGGCCCCGGATGAGCCAGTTGCTAAGCAGGACAGGCAGCAGCAAAAACACCTGGCGGGCTGGATAAATGTCCTCGGAGGGCCACATGTGGCCCACGGGCCGTAGTTTGAGGACCCCTGCTCAAGACAGTATTATCATGCACAGCTGTTTAACTATAGCTGTTAACAATTAACATGGGCATAATTTGTATATTTTTATCTAAATAATGTCCCTATTAGAAACAGTGGCCTAAAGTTTGTTACCTAAGAGACAATCATACAAATTAACATATAAAAGAGAGTGGAACAAAGGCATGCACACTTAACCACTGAAACAACACACATATGAAGTGCACAGGTACAGGTACATGCAGATTTTCTCCTACCTCTGCCAGCTGAGGCAGCAAGACCCAATCCTCCTTCTACTCAACATGAAGACTTAAGATGACCCACTTCTACTTACTGACTAGTAAATACAATTTCTCTTCCTTATGATTTCAATGACATTTTCTTTTCTTACTCTACTGTAATACAGTAAATTATATATATAACACACAAAATGTGTTCATTGACTATGTTGTCAGTAAGGCTATCGGTCAACATTAGGCTATTAGTAAAGTTTTGGGGCAGTCAAAAGTTGCGTGTGTACTTGTGACTGCTTGGGGGATCAGTACCCCTGAAACCCATGTTATTCAGCAGTCAACTGTACATTAGACTTATATTTAACAAGATATAAAGAGGCCAGAGTGTCATTTAATGTGGAAAGTCCTAACGCAAGTCACAGTATTTATCACACTACGTGTACATGTTTCCTGCCCACAGTTACACTGGGTCCCATTAAGGAAAGTACCTGTTGACATAGAATACTTACAGATGTACACTGCACTACCTGAGCGGGATATTGTGCACGCAGCACCCTGGCTTCTATCCCTTTGGTGTCAGTAGTACCTCCCGACCTCCAGTTAGAACAAAAAATGTCTTTAGATGTAACCAAATGTCCCCTGGCAGGAAATTATCAATACTCATATTTAAACACTGATACATATCCAAATATTTTAAATATAACCTTGATAGTATTATTACTTCTATCTGAAAATTGACATCCCTGTCACATAAATTGACTATTTTCCCTTCATCTCAAATTCTGATATTAAAAAAAGTTGGAAGGATTTTCAGATGTTTAGACATACTAAAGATATTCATAAAGATTTACTTCATTCTCACAATTCAATGAGATGCCACATCTGATAAGGCTTTCCCAATCTGTTGGGTAGTTTCTCCCATGATTTCATTGAGTTCTGCATAAACTTACCTAGAGATGAAAGGCTTCTCCACTGTGTGAATTTTCTGATACACAAGAATTAGTAACCTCCCTCACAAAGCCCACAAAGAGATGAGCTTTGGGCTGTGTTGTAACGAAAGTCAATCACACATACTGTGGCCCAACAGGGATGGTATTTATTTCTCATTCAAAAAAAGGACAAATGGGATTTGCAATAGAGAAGGAAAGATCTCCTTTCTCCAAATCAACTTGTCTTAAAGCACAATGGCCTGGCCGGGTGCAGTGGCTCATGCCTGTAATCCTAGCACTATGGGAGGCCGAGGCGGGAAGATTGCTCCAGGTCAGGAGTTCGAAACCAGCCTGAGCAAGAGTGAGACTCCGTCTCTACTAAAAATAGAAATTGGCCAACTAAAATATACATAGAAAAAAAAATTAGCTGGGCACGGTGGCGCATGCCTGTAGTCCCAGCTACTCAGGAGACTGAGGCAGGAGGATCGCTTGAGCCCAGGAGTTTGAGGTCGCTGTGAGCATGGCTGACACCATGGCACTCTAGGCTGACACCCAGGCAACAGAGTGAGACTCTGTCTCAAAAAAAAAAAAAGCACAATTGCCTTCTCCCCTGTGGCTTCCAAGACCACTCTAGGGTCTTCTGCACTTCAGTCACAGAAGGCACGAGAAACCAGGGAGGCTCCCATGGACTTTTTTATTATCACACCTAGAAATACTGTTCATTGCTTGCGTCCATATTCCCTTGAACAGAGCTCACTCAGTGCCATGTTCCCAGCCTCCACAATAGGAGGCTGAGAAATGCAGGCTGTGTTCAGCAAAGGAAAGTGGCTTTGGGAGAACACACAGCCAGAGTCCGCCGTACAGGATTTCTCCATGTACAAGTTCTCTGAGGCCAGCTGAGGTGTGACTTCTGATAAAAGATCTTTCCACATTCATTACATTCATGGTTTCCCTCCTGTCAGAGATCAATGCCTGCCAAGGTTTGACTTCTACTAAAAGGCTTTTCCGCTTTCATGACATTGACAGGGTTTTTCTCATGTGAACTCTCACGCGAGGGCTGACTTATGGTAGAAAATTTTCCTACATTCTTTATATTAATATGGTTTCTCACCTGTGTGAGCACCCTGATGCATCCTGAGGTTTGGCTTTTGGTGAAAGCTTCCCACATTCATTATATGCATAGGTATCTATTCTTTACATTCATAGGGTTTTGTACCCACCTGGGTTCTCACGTACAGTAAGCTATGATTTCAGGTAGAAAGCTTTCCTACATTTTTTTTACATTCGTATGCTTTCTCACCAGTGTTGAATTCTATGATGCAAACTTGGCATTAAGGTACAAAGTTTTCCTAGATTCTTGACATTCACATGGATTCTCACCTGTGTGTTTTCTGATGTATAGCAAGGGCTGACTTATGGTAGAAAGATCTCCTACATTCTTGACATTCAAAAGGTTTCTCACCAGTGTGAATTTTCTTATGCAGCCAGAGGGTTGAGTTCTGCCGAAAAGCTTTTCCACATTCATTGCATTCATATGGTTTTTCGCCTGTGTGAGTTCTATGATGTATAGTAAGAACTGACTTCAGGCTAAATGTTTTTCCACATTCATTACATTCATAGGGTTTTTCTCCTGTGTGAGTTCTCTGATGCACGGTGAGTTTTGACTTCTCGGAGAAGGTTTTGCTACATTCTTTACATCCATATGGTTTCTCACCTGTGTGAGTTCTCTGATGTATAGTGAGGGTTGACTTTTGGGCAAAGGATTTCTTACATTCTTTACATTTATATGGTTTCTCACCTGTGTGAGTTCTCTGAGGTATTATAGCAAGGACTGGTTTTTGGCAGTTCTTCCCACAATCGTTATGTTCATGGAGCTTCTCCCCTGTATGAGTTCTCTGATGCATCCTGAGAGTGAACTTGTGGCAAAAACTTTTTCCACACTCATTACACTGATAGGGTTTTTCCCCTGTGTGAGTTCTCTGATGCACACTGAGGCCTGACTTCTGGCCAAAGGTTTTCCCACATTCATTACACTTGTAAGGTTTTTCCCCCGTGTGAGTTCTTTGGTGGATGGCAAGGTGTGATGTTTGGCGGAAGGTTTTTCCACATTCATCACATCCATAGGGCTTTTCCCCTGTGTGAATTCGCTGGTGGACAGTAAGGCTTGTCTTACGGCTGAAAGATTTCTCACATAGGTTACATGCATATGCTTTTTTCCTCGTATGTGTCTTCTGATGTATTGTGAGATGTGATTTGCCAATGAAGGTTTTCTCACACTCAGTACATTCATAGGGTTTCCTTCTCGTCTGTTTTTGCTGATGTTTAAGGAGGTTAGACTTTTTATGGAAAGTTTTCTTTCCTACCTGAGTGCTCTCTTGAGCAACAGGTGCTGACCCATCACAGCCTTTCCCATATTCATCATATTTACGGGTCTCTCCCACTTGAACCCTCCTATGTATGAGGATTATTGCCTTTGTGTCAAAGACGTTCCCTCGTCCGCTACGTTCAGAAGGCAGCTGCCCCATTTGAATCCTGCGATGCTGACTACGATGCTCACAGTGTCCTTCAGAGTTCGCAGTTTCGTGGTGGGCACCAGGCTTCTCTCCAGCCTGAATCCCATCAGGCTCAACAGGGACAAGTGTGTCCTGACACACTCCAAACTCCTCCAGCTTTATTCCTGAATAGTTTCCGTTACTTACCATCAGTTTTGAAATACAGTTTGAGCTCAAATTAAATGTTTTTCCTGATTCAGCTCCCTCCTCAGTTGATGTCCTCCTGCTGGTGACTACAGCTTGCCACACATGTCCACCTTGACTTCCTTGGCTCCTCTTGATTAGATTACCAACCATTTGGACATCTGAAATGACAAAAAAGAAATCATATCCACGAACCAAACATTAGCATTTTTTATGGAAGCCACATGTTATCCTAGTGATATAAGATTTTATAAAAACCAACAATGGGTATTGGCCTTATAAGTGTAGGATTTTTCTTCCAACTGATTCCTAATTACATTAATATATTTTTCAATACTAAATTGTCTTTCTCCTTGCATTTTTAACTTTTTCTTTTCAAATTTATGAAAAAATATTTGGCAATAATATTCCCCTACTGCCTGGTCATAGTAGTCAATTAAGGGATCATCACCTGCCACTTGCTTTCCCTATTCTTTTGCTAATTTTATTCTTATAACAACAGTTTCTCCCACTGTTATTTTTCTCATTATGTTTTGAAATGGCTTGGTTTTCCTGCATCAGATGCTTAGAGGAGCAGGAAATATCAACTTTTCTGTCATCTAAGTAGGAATGGCTTCAGGACAGGGCTTTGCACCTGTTTGTTTAGTTTTCACTCATCCCTGAAAATGGCTATAGGCATCTGAGAGTTTCTCAAATATAAAATCTCTCCTTCCCCTGCTAGATAAAGACAGCTTCCTATAAATCCTGACTTAACCGGACTTCCCTTTGCATCTCGGAACCATAACAAGTACAGCAGGCTCCAGTCAACCACCCTGGGCATCACCTTCCTGTTCATCTGAAGGATTTGGCAGTGCAACCCAGGCTGTGCCCACCATCCCTGAAAAGCCTTTTTCTGGCTCCTTTTGAGATCAACAGCCTTGGCATCCTCTACTAATTCCTGGTACACGCACCCGCTTGACAGTTCACTGCTTCCGAAGGCTTTTATTTTGTGTGTTGTAGTTTCAGCTGTCGTTTCATAGAAAACGGAGTCTCCTGTGCATAACTCACTCTTTGTTTTAGAATTATTACAGAAACAGGGAGGAGATGATACCTACAGATGTATGTCCAAACAGAAGTATGGTCCCTTCCCCCAGAAATCCTTGGTTCACTTGGACTTGGGACCCAGGATCTCCTGGCTCTCCTCCCAAGTCCGGGATCTCTCCTTTCCATGCTCCAATGTTGGAAGCTTCTTGATTTCTGATATTATGGTTCACAAGAGTCACTCACTGACCTCTTTTCTCATTTTATCACACTTCCCTAGGTGACATCCTCTGTATGACTTCAAACACCAGATTTACGCTACCAATTTCCAAATTTGTATTTACAATAATGATATTCATGTTTGAACCCAGATTTTATATTTACCTATGTAATAAACTGGAAAACATTTAACTCTAACTGAAGCTTTGTTAAAGGAAACAATACTCCTAAATGTACTTTCTCTAACAATCTTTCCTAAATTATTACATCCCATTTTTGCTCTCTCACTCTGGTTAAATATTCCTCACTGTTCTAAATAGGTCAGCATTGCTGGTAACTGCCAGGCAGTATTCATCCCAGCCTCCCTGCCCAGGATGTGATGACCAACCTGGGAGGCCCTGGTTTGGGCGTTCTTCTACCATCCACGGCTCTGCTCCTCGCTCCAACTTGAAGATCACTTGGGGTTTGGTAATGCAGTGCCCTGGGAATGGGATATAATATAAGATTTGGCCAAACTGCTAAGTCAGATCCTTTTTAGAATGACAGCAGCTTGGGTTCAGGAGCTGTGAAATGAAGGGGCCAATCTGAACCTTTGTTACTAAAGGCGGACACATTTCTCAGGGACTAGAATCTTACACCTAAATACCATTAAACCCTATTAAGGGTTCCTACATTTATCAACACGGAAGACAGTGTTGCTCCTGGGAGCTACTGGGGAGTTTTGCTCACCCAAGGACACCAGGCTGCTGTACGTCTCCAGCATCACGTCCCTGTACAGGGTCTTCTGAGCATCATCCAGGTCCTGCCACTCCTCCCAGGTGAAGTCCACATCCACGTCTTCAAATGATACCAACCCCTGTAATGACACATTTCTCCTTAAATCATCAGTCTTGGGTCACATGAAAAGGAATCTGGGAGTTCACTCTTCTGCGTGTGCATATGACTTACATGTACCTTACATAAGATGTGGCTTCTTTGTATTTTACATGATGAGAGAAAGAAAAGTCACAGCACTGCAATAATTTACTAATGAATAAAATACTGTTACAAAGTACACCTTAGGACCAACCTTGTTGCTAAGGATAAAAGTATGAGTACAATTCTGCTCCTCCAAGAAGCTTATGATCTAGTGTGAAGAGAAGACAAAAGTATAAATACACACCTGGAATAATGTGTTGGTGAACTAATTCAGCTACAAGTTCAACACAGACTGAGGTAAGAGAGAAGGAAAAAATACATTTTTGTTTATTTTGCACCATGAGGTTGCACTTAACTGAACCAGATGCTGAGCTCTTCCCTGTGAACCGTGTATTCTCATGACTATGAGGCAACACCAGAGTCCAGCTACAAGGGCAACAGAACACCTGCCATGTCAAAGGCACTACACACAGCACTGTGGCTAGGTCCATGATCCTGGGCTGTGACGAATAATAAACATAGTATTGAAGAAACTATGAAGTGGTTCTGCATTTAAATATTTGACCTAATCCTAACAATAAAAAATTTTACTTACTGTTTTGTTTTGTTTTTTGTTTTTGAGACAGAGTTTGGCTCTGTTGCCCAGTCTAGAGTGCCATAGCATCACCCTAGCTCACAGCAACCTTAAAGTCTTGGGCTCAAGCAATCCTTCTGCCACAGCCTCCCAAGTAGCTGGGACTACAGGCATGCGCCACCATGCCCAGCTAATTATTTATATGTGTGTGTATATATATATATATATTTTTTTTTCCAGTTGTTCAGATAATTTCTATTTTTACTAGAGATGGGGTCTTGCTCTTGCTCAGGCTGGTCTCGAACTCCTGACCTTAGGTGATCCTCCGGCCTCAGCCTCCTAGAGTGCTAGGATTACAGGCATGAGCCACCACACCCGGCCCTACTTATTTTTAATTACTTAAAAATTAAAAGCATGTACATAGTCATCCTATAATTTCCTACCTGCATGCCAAAGCATTTCTTGTGCCCACTCAAGGGAAGATACTGCCACTTCCCAAATCACAGGGTATAAATAATGAGATCCTGTAAGAACCACTGTGTTGCATGACCAGATTGGCACTTTAATAGTCATCCCTTAGGAGAAAATGGAAAGACTTAAAAGAGAGTCAGAGGAAAAGAGAACAGGGAGACAGATGACTACCTACACCAGGACACAAAGCAGTGAGAAAACAGATGAGGGAAATAATCCTCAAAAAAAGAAAAACAAAAAAAACCCACAGGAGGACAGTTTGGTAATAATATGTTGTGTAGAGGCTTAAAAAGGGTGTTTTACATCCACGCTATCAGCATGATTCCGGCTACTTAGGTACCAGTTCAGCCACTGCTATTGTAGGAAGAGACTTCTGGGGTTCTTGAGAGGAAGACGGTATATTTTGCATGTGGGGAAAGGTAAATAATTTGCAGCTAGAAGCGACCTGTGGTTAGCAAGGACTGCTGCAAATGCCTGCTGCTACTCTGTCTAGAGGGGTTCTCACCGCCCTGCACATGGACCGCAGGGCTTGTAGCAATGAGCTTGCCTGAGGTAAGGTGGTGGAAGAGACGTTTTGGGAATTCTGAGGGGAGACATGGCTTTGTAGCAAAGACAGAAGCAGTATTTTTGTAAAAAAGATAAAAGATCAAAAATATTTTCAGGATTCTAAGGACCTTAGGGTGTACCCCACCAGAGCACCCTTAGAGAGAAGGGGAGACCAGAGAACAAAGGACCAGTCTCAGAGTATGTGAAGGCAGCTTTGCTCTAATGTGTAACGTGCTTTATTCATTTATTTTGAACCTAACATTTAATCGAATCCTACACATTCTATGTTTCAAATCAAGGTACTACCTATGGCCTCTAATGACTTCCAGTGTTTCATTTATCTGCTTCATAACAAAATATCATAAAATTTACTGGCTTAAACCATGAATTTATTCCTCTCACGTCACAATTTTGTGGGTCAGGAAACTGGACAGTGCAGTGTGGGTTGGCAGCTTCTCAATGTCTCTGGTCTGCCTCAGGACACTGTGTTCTGCTTCATGATGTCTCTGGTCTCAGCTAGAAGGACACTAGCTGCTGGGGACATGGAGCAGGCACCCAGCCCTCTCCTGGTGGCAAGCTTGGACTTCCTCATGGTCTGACAGTCTAAGAGTAATCAGACCTGTCTGGTTTCTCCAAGAGAAAGTGTCCAGGGGAAAACACAGATAAAAATCACCAACATAAATTTAAATAAGGTACAAATTATGAAAATCTATGTTATTGTTTATTCTTTACATACTGTCTTATTGATCCTTGTCCAAATGTGTTCACCAACTCCTGAATGATTTTCCCCTGTGGACTCCTAAGGATGTCACCACATGTGCCAGCTAGATGCACAGTTCACCAGGGACTAAACCTCACCTCCCTGCAAACACACCCTTCAGGTTTTGACAAGAATGATACAGCTGAGGTTATAAAGCTACTGGGTTTGTTGCTGAGCACCAACAGCTCCTCCCCCTACACTGGCACTGTATCCAAACATTAGAATAAAATGGAAAGAAAAACAAGCAAAAGTAGCAGGACTTGGCACCAGATTAAATTATACCTGAGAAAGAAGAGTCCAGAAGAAATCACACTTTAGTGGTTTGGGTAGCACTGGCTGGAAGACAGTAATGCCATACAAAAAGGAAAACTAGAGAATATCGTTTTCATTTTGGATTTGTTGAGCTTGAGGTGCCACTTGGATAGCTACAAAGAAACATTGGACAGAGCAGAACCTGTGGCCTAAAGGCTGGGGAAGAAGTCAAAGCGGGAGAGAAACAGGGCTGCGAACCCACAGAGGACTGAACCAATTGAGAACTGCAGGGTTCATTCAATGAACAGGGACCTGATGGACACTTGCATGAGCTAAGTTAAGGAGAAGAAAGTAGAAGAATTCAGGGAAAAAGAGAAGAAACCTTCAGTGAAGTCATGGTAGAAACTAACACAGAAGAATTTCTACAGAAGATCATGAACAGTGGTTTCAACTATGGCAGAAGATTCAAGGCAAACACTAGAGAACAGTCATCGGATGTGGCTCTGATTAGGTTACCAGTGGGTTTTAGAAGAAATGAACTAAGACTACGTAGAGTGGGTTAAAGTGCAAATGAGCACTGGGGATAGCTGCCAGAAAATACAACTTTGAGCAGTCTGCTGCACACCTTGCATGTACGGATGAATCGAGAGAAACACTGAGAATCATCTAAGGACCTGTGTGGACTCCATCTTCCAGGCTTTACCCACAAGTCAAGTAGGGCCCTCCAAAAGCAGTCTGGGAACATACTATTTAACAATTCCAGAAAAACCTTATTAAGTCAGGTTTCTGCCACCGCAGAACACAAGTGTTACCAGGTTGATAGAACATGCTCTCTTCTTAAATTTCATTCCAATTAATGTAACAAATGTGTCTGCCTTTTTGCCAGGACATGAGAAAGAACAGAGATAAACCTGTACTCAATTAGACAACTCTCAGGTCTTATAACCTATATGTGTCTACTTGCCAACTTCACCTGATTATATACATTGTCTTGAAGCTGAGGTTTACTTATTTCTACTTTTCCATTTTAATCCACGGACTCCCAAAAACTTCCATAAAATACAATGTAAAACAAAGTGAGGAATAAATAAACAACTCACCAGAGATTTACTCATTTTTTTGTTACTCTTGGAAACCCGCAAAGCACTCTGATAGCACAGCTGGGAGAGAAGGCAAATGAAGTGGATTAAGGAAAAAAAGTGTGGCTTGATCCCAGATTCTTCTGTCCCAAACTCTCTACATATTACCTGTAAAAAACAAAACAAAACAAAAAAACCCTCCCTGTGGGAGATCAGTCCTTCACACCTCAATAAGGGGCAACAACAGCCCCAATGGAGATGCAGGTACATGTACGTTAATTGGCAGAAACTAGAAAATTGTTTTGGGGCTAATGAAAACATACACTACCTACTACTCATGTAGCAACAGTTAGTGTTACCTAAAGATATAATTTAATAATTTAAGCCAAAGAAAGGAACATTATGCCTTCACTAAATTAATGTTATGAACATACACTTGGCCTGTATTAATCATTCCCCTATTAATAGGGAAATCCACACAGGATTCCCTATGAGTGTTTCCATTAGAACACATCACACTCTTCTACACCTAAAATTCACGGGAAGTATTCATCCGCTAACTCAACATTTTTTGCTCATGAGAAAAAGTTTATTTAATGTATATTTCTTGTGGTATACTGTTACTATAATGTTTTCCAATGACATGTCTCCCTGTATCCAAGGCCTTGTATAATATGCTCCAACAACAAACTGGGCTTTGCCATCTGACTTGCTTTGGCCAATGAGACAATAGAAAAGTAATGCAAATATAGGTTTGAAAAGTACTTGCCCTCCGGTGCTTGCCTTCTTGGACACAGTCATAGTGTAAGAAATCCTGGAAGACTAATCTGTCAGTGACACAGGGACCAGCCGAGAGTCAGCACAAACCACGTGACATGCAGATGAAGCAATCTTAAAACAATCAGCTTCAGTCAAGGCACCAGAGAACTAAAGCTTCATTTGTGATCCAGGCAACGCTAGCACTGGAACTGCCCAGGTAAATGTACTCCAAAATGTAGATCAACGGAACGTTGAGCAAATAAAATGGTTGTATTCTTTAATCCAGTAAGTACAGGTTGCTTCCTTATACAGCAGATGCTAACTAATACATCTAAACCACCAGAACTTAATATGTTTTTAACAAAATTATCAAGGGAGAAAGTCTTAAATTACATGTCAAATACAATCAAAGAACTTCAAAACCACATGTAGAAGTTTTGAAAATCACAATATCAAGTGGACAGAATTCAGTGAGGTTGCTGGTGCTAATAGAGGCTATCTGAATCATAAAAATCAACTGCTTACAACAGTAAACCATGTTTTTAAAGTTTTTTATATCATAAAAAACTATGCTTACCTTGAAAAACATAAAAAGGTCTGCTATTTATAAGTTTGCACATATTTACATTTTAAGAAATTGGTTTGGGCCAGGTGCAGTGGTTCATGCCTGTAATCCTAACACCTTGGGAGGTCAAGGCAGGAGGATAGCTTGAGGCCAGGAGTTCAAGACCAGCCTGATCAAGAGCGAATCCCCATCTATACAAAAAATAAAAAAATCAGCCGCATGTGGTGGCTATAGTCCCAGCTACTTGGGAGGCTTACGCAGGAGGATCACTTGAGCCCAGGAATTTGAGGTTGCTGTGAGCTATGACCAAGCTATGACTGCCCTCTAACCTGGGTGACAGGCCAAGACCCTGTCTCAAAAAATAAAAAGAATGAAAGAAAGAAAGAAAAGAAATTGGATTGGTTTGGAGAAGTGTAATGGAGCCTGATTTTCCCATTTTAAATAATGTAAAACAGACTCCTATTATTTTCCTGTAGAGTTTGTGATTTTTAAGAACATATCACTGGCCAGGCATGGTAGCTCACACTTGTAATCCTAGCACTCTGGAAGGCCAAGGCAGGCAGATTGCTTGAGGTCAGGAGTTCGAAACCAGCCTGAGCAAGAGCGAGACCCCATCTCTACTATAAATAGAAAGAAATTAACTAGCAAACTAATATACATAGAAAAAATTAGTCGGGCATAGTGGTGTATGCTGGTAGTCCCAGCTACTCGGGAGGTTGAGGCAGAAAGATCACCTGAGCCAGGAGTTTGAGGTTGCTGTGAGATAGGCTCACACCATGGCACTCACTCTAGCCTGGGCAACAAAGCGAGACTCTGTCTCAAAAAAAAAAAGAACATATCACTAACATTAAGTGGGAAATACTTGCATTATTTACATTTTGAGGTAATATAATCCACAGAAAGTATTGGGATAAGAAAGGGTAGGGATGTTTAAGGCGAGGTATTTCAAAGCAATGTTTATTCTAAATTGACTTCAATGTCACAACAATAATCTCAAAGTAAACAAACATTTGTTTTGACTTCATTGTGGCAAAAAATGGATAACACTAGCCAAAAAAGTCAGTATGCCTAACATCTACAAATCACATGACACTGGGCAAGCCCATTTCCTCAAAGTCAGTTTTTTTCATGTTGCTCACAAGGTGGAAATACTTTGGCAAATCCTTCCCGAAGCACCAGTAAGAACTATCAAGACAAAGGGAGCATTGGCATATTTATAGATGAGAAATTTGGTGATAAACTAGGTTTAAGAGAGTTCAGACAGTGGAAACAATGAGGAAAGATGGGAGGAATGGGACTATGTTTAGACAGCACTGTAGACAGATTCTCTCAGGTATGACAGGCTATTCATCCACCTCAGCCCACACCTTCAAGCCCCCTCCAAAAAGTAATACCTCCCAGGCCCTTGCCTATCCTTCTCAAACTCACCTCTCCTTTCTGAAAGGTGGCCCAAACCTTCCACTATCACCCAATCTTTGAAAGCTAGCAAGTGAGGTATTAGCAACCGAATCTTGTGCATTCCAGAGAGTAGGATCAATAACTGCTTGGGTCATGCAAATCTAGTTTCTTCACCTGTCTGTAACCCTTTGTCCTCTGCTCTGAAGCTCTCAGGAGAGGATTCAAGCCAGAGGGATGTTGTCTCAGGTGTTACTCCTATTAACGGGGTGTCCTCCTTCAATAACACCTACTTTATTCAAAAGAAAATCAGACCATCATCCAATGATGCCCCAGTGAGGGATCCCAACATCCCTCCTAGAATTGACTGACCCTGAAAACTAGTTCTTGTATGAACTTCTATAAACTCAAACCGGGAGAGGACTAGAAACTTTATTTACTGAATAAACACCACAAAACCCCACAAATACAACTGTCGCATAGTAAAACTGGGTCTGCACACCCTTCACAATTATTTTTCTGGAAATTAGGGGGATTTCACTAATAATAGTGTTAATACGCCCACCTAACACCTGTGCAAACTGAGTTTCGCGTAGATTAGTAACAGGGTCCGACAGCGGCGGAGCTGAAACGTGACTCACACCGCAGACCACCCAGGCTCGCGGTCTGCAGACCCCGCCCCATCCCGCTCGACATCTCGCACCCGACCACCCCACCGGAGACCTTCTGGAAGCAGCCTCGGTACCTCCGGAAGGCCACACCTGGCCTCCAGGATCCCCCGAGGCCCGCGCGCTCCTCTTCCACGCTCGCGCCAACCTTCAGGAACGCACAATCGAGCCCCAGACTTGCCCAGCGACAGCGGGAGAGACGCGGAGACAGGAACTTCCGGCGGAAGATGGCGGGAGTGGGCGGGGAGACGCATGCGTAGACAGATCCAGGAAGACGCCCCCCCTTCCCACGGCCCCGGCCTGGAAACGGCATTTGAGTGGAGACTACACTTCCCAGAAGACACTGCGGCCCTCCGTTAGGAACCGGCGCGGGAAGATTTGTTTCCGCAGCAGGAAGTCCTGTTACCAGGAGACCCAGCCCTGAGGGGTCGGGGGTGGTCTCGGTCCACGCGACAGAGATGCGGCATTCTTGTTATTTATTCCAGCGTCGCTTGACAACCTGGGACCTTGCAAGAATAATTCGGGCAAATTCCAATGTGGGTCAGTTAGTCCATGCCATTAGTGAGTGACCTTCTAGAATTCTGATATAGGTATCTCTGTACTAGAACCCACGACTGTTTTTAATGTGCGTTCTAAAGCATGAAAAAAATCATGTCTCTGTTTTACTTTAAATTTGTTAACAAACAAGAAATTGTAACGAGTAACTCTTAGTGGAACCTCCTGCCGGGCTTCTGGCGTGAATCAGAAAAGCCACAGAAATCCCACTTTGGGAAACAACGTTGGGGAAAGCCTGGGTGAGCCCCTGCATTCTGGACGGATCAGCCCCCAGTTTGCCCTTCAAGCCCTACTTCAGTTTGATGAGGTTATAAATTCACCATTGGCTCAGAGGATCAGGAACAGAGTCGATTTCAGAGGCTCTCTAAATACATACAGATTCTGGGATATTGTGTGGATTTTTGTGTTGAATAATGTTGAATTCGGAGAGGTGAGAGAACATATTAAAGTGGATAAAGTGAAAACTGTTGCCTCTGATGGTGAAAACACTGGCCATGCTACAGAATGAATAGGAAAAAATACTATTTATGCCTCCTTCTGTTATTATTCATTGCTTTTTTAAGAGGAGCATGGAAGACACTTTAAAAATGTATCCCAGCATTGCAGAAATTACAACACTGTGCTATATCAGAGAATTCCAGGAGAAAGCGTGTAACTCTGTAGCCTCTTGCATTACCTTTATTATACAGCATGAAAAAACATTAACTTTTTTAAAATGACAAATCAAAAGTTGTTGCCTTCCTACAAACACTCTTTAATAAACTCATTATAAAACTCAAAAAGGTAACCTTTTTCTAACCCATTAAAAGATATTTGTTCTCACTAAACTAATTTGTGAGTCTTCAGTGGATTATATTACATAATTGGAAAAGCTGCTCTCATTTATGTACTGGGATAAAATAACAGGGTCATAGTGTAGGTATACTCCATAATTTTTGCACCAATTTGCATTTCCAATGCAAATTCCAATTATTTGCCCAGAAATTCCAAAGTTCCAGCCACCCATTTATCTATATATCAATCAAATTCTGTGCGTGTGTGTGCCTGTGATGGACCCGACCTTTGCCTTTCCTTCCTTGTTCCTGACACAAAATAGGCAAGGAGCTCTTGGGGGTTTCTCAGAGATCCTGGTACCGCTGAAGTTCCTCTTTAAATGACGAAATGCCCAACTTGAATAATTAAGTTGACATGGGCTTAAGTGGTGCAATGGGGGGAGTGGTGTAAGGCAGCTAAAGTTTGGGGGCCGGTGGTTGGGCAGGTGTGAGAGGCTCGACTCTTGTTCAAGACTTTTTCTGAATTTCTCTTTTCTTGATGTATGCCCTGCCTTGTTCAAATTCCTCTGCGTTCTCTGATCCTACAGTTGCCCCTCAGTGACTCCATTCTGCAGATACAGGGAACTCAGCTTTGATCTTCCCAGAGCTCTTTTGCCTCAGACTTTGGAATCCCTAGCCTCCCTTACTGTGATATCTGGAGATCCTTTAGCTATAGGATGATTGCCAGGGACGGACACGGGGGCTCAGAATCAGTGACATACAGGCCAAGGAGAGGAGGCTCAGGGAGGATACTTAGGTGTTTCCAACTAAGTATCCAATACATGACTTCCATAGTCATGTATTGTAGTTTTCAGTATTAAAACTTATGCTTCTTTTGTTAAAGTTATTTCTGTTTTACTTTTAATTTGCTTGTAACTAGAGTGGTTTCCTTCATTTTATTTTTGGATTGTTCATTTCTTGTGTACACAAATACAATTGATTTTTGTATATTGATCTTGTAACCTGTTACTGTCCTTAACTTGTTGTAGTTCTAATAGGTTTTTTTTTTAGTTCTAATAGGTTTTAGTGAATTCTTTATGATGTTCTAAATACACAAAAATGTCATATGCAAATAAAGGTAATTGTACTTCTTCCTTTCTAATCTAGATGTCTTTTGTTTATTTCTGTTGCCGAATTGTGCTGGCTGGCACCTCCAGTACAATGATGAATGGATGTGGTGAGAGTAGATATATTTATCTTGTTCCTGATCTGATGACAGGGTTTCACCTTTAGCTATGATGTTAACTGTGGGGTTTTCACATACTCTTTATCAGTTTGTGGATGTTTTCTATTCCTATTTTACTGAATTATTTCATCATGTTGTATTTTGTCAAATTTATTTTCTGTGTTTATCAAGATGATCATGTGGTTTTGTTTATTATTGCATTGATATGGAGTATTGTATTTAATGATTTTTGGCTACTAACCAACCTTGTATACCCAGGATGAATCCAACTTGATCATGAGGTATAATTATTTTTATATGTTGCTGAATTATGTTTGCTTGTATTTTTTTAAAGATTTTTCATAGACCAGGCATGGTGGCTCACTACTGTAATCCTAGCACTCTAGAAGGCCAAGGCAGGAGGATCACTAAAGGTCAGGAGTTCGAAATCAGCCTGAGCAAGAGTGATACCCAGTCTCTACTAAAAATAGAAAGAAATTAACTGGCCAACTAAAAATATATAGAAAAAAATTACCCAGGCATGGTGGCGCATTCCTGTAGTCCCAGCTACTCGGGAGGCCGAGGCAGAAGAATTGCTTGAGCCCAGGAATTTGAGGTTGCTGTGAGCTAGGCTGATGCCACAGCACTCTAGCTGGGGCAACAGAGTGAGACTCTGTCTAAAAAGAAAAAAAAGATTTTTTTAATCTATATTCATAAGATACATTGGTCTGAATTTGTGTTTTCTTGTGATATTTTTGTAAGGTTTTGGCATCATGCCTATCCTGCCCTATAAAATGAGTTGGACAATGTCTCTACTGCTTCTGTTGTTTGGGGAGTTTGGGAAGAAGTGATATTAATTCTTCACCAAATGTTTGATAAGATTTACCAGTGAAATTTATAAACATGAACTTTTCTTGGTATGTAGTTGGGCTTTTTATTATTAATACAAACTCTTCCCTTTTGACAGGCCTATTCAGATTTTTTTTTTCTTGAGTCCATTTTAATAGTTTGTGTGTGTCTAGGAATTTGTCAATTGCTTCTGAATTATCTAATATATTGGCATACCATTAGTCTTGTTATTCCTTTCTAAATATTTTTTTAGTTTTGTAAGGTTGGTAGTAAAGGTCCTTCTTTAATTTCTGACTTTAGTTATTTGAATCTTCTTTTTTTCTTGATCTAGCTAAAGATTTCTCAATTTTGTTGATCTTTGATGAACCTGCTTTTGGTTTCATTGTTATTCTCTATAGTTTTTATATTCTCGATTTCATTGATTTATATTGTAAACTTCATTATTTCATTCCTTCCTTCTGCCTACTTTAGATTCAGTTTGCTTTTCTTTTTCCAGTGTCTTTTTTTTTTTTTTTTTTTTGAGACAGAGTCTTGCTTTGTTGCCCAGGCTAGAGTGAGTGCCGTGGCATCAGCCTAGCTCACAGCAACCTTAAATTCCTGGGCTCAAGCAATCCTACTGCCTCAGCCTCCTGAGTAGCTGGGACTACAGGCATGCGCCACCATGCCCAGCCAGCTAATTTTTATGGTAGAGATGGGGTCTCTCTCTTGCTCAGGCTGGTTTCGAACTCCTGACCTTGAGCAATCCGTCTGCCTCGGCCTCCCAGAGTGCTAGGATTACAGGCGTGAGCTACCGCGCCCGGCCTTTTTCCAGTGTCTGAACATAGAAGCTTCAGTTATTGATTGAGAGATTTTTCCTTTCTTAATATAGATATTTATAGCTGTAAATTTCCCTCTAGGCACTGCTTTAGTTGCCTTCCAAAAATTTTGTATATTGTATCTTCATTTTCATTCCTCTCAGTGTATTTTCTAATATCCCTTTTGATTTCTTCTTTGACTGTTTTGTAATTTTGGAATGCATTAAGTCCACATATTTGAATTTCCCAATTTTTTGTTATTAATTTCAAGGTTTTCTTCAGTGGGATGGGAGGACATACTGTGTATTATTTCCATCCTTTTATATGTATTCTGGTTTGCTTAATGGCTTATCATAGAGGCTATCCTGGAGAAGGTTCACGTGCAATTGAGAAGAATATAGATTCTGTTATTGTTGGGTGGAATGGTTTTACATTTTTTTCAAGCCAGTGGGACTATAAAGTTATTTGTGTCATCTGTTCTTTGTTCCACTTCTTCCTAGTTGTTCCGTTATTTAAAGTGGGTTATTGAAGTCTCTAAACATTATTCTTGAATTTTCTATTTCTACCTTTTATATCTGTCAGTTTTTGCTTCATGAATTTTGATAATAGTTTATTAGGTGCATATATAATTTTACTGTTTCTTTCTTGCTAATGGATTGACTCTTTATCATTATAAAATACCCTTCAGTATCTCTAATTTTTTATTTTAAAATCTATTTTGTCTGATATTAATATAGCTACTATGGTATAGCTTTTATGCTTTTTTTAAATTTTTTAATTTTTTCGTACTTTTTCCTTTTTTTAATTTTTTTTCCATATCTGCATTTCCAATTCTCAGCAGCTTTTATGCTTTATATTTGTGTGATATATCTATTTACATACTATTAATTTCATTCTATATTTATCTTTGAATACAAAGGATGACTCCTATAGGAAGCATAGAGTTGGGTTTTGTTTTTTGTTTAGTCTGACAGTGTCTACCTTTTGATTAGATTATTTAATCAGTTTATAGTTAATGTTATTATTGACATAGTTAGATTTATGACTACCATTTTATTTTTTTTCTATTTTTCCATGTCTTTGTTATTCCTCTATTCATCTGTACTACTTTCTTTTGCAATAAGTGAATCTTTTCTAATCCATCATTTAAATTTCTTTAATGATTAATGATTTTTTCCACATTATTTTTTACATATTGCCCCAGTAGTGTACTTGGCCATACCATGTACATATTAACTTATAAGAATCAGCTACAGCCCAGGTGCGGTGACTCACACCTATAATCCTAGCACTCTGGGAGGCTGAGGTAGGAGGATTGCTTGAGCTCAGAAGTTCAAGACCAGCCTGAGCAAACGCGAGAGGCCCATCTCTATTAAAAATAGAAAATATTAGCCGTGGTGCATGCCTGTAGTCCCAGCTATTGTGAAGGCTGAGGCAGGAGGATCACTTGAGCCCAGGAGTTTGAGGTTGCTGTGAGCTAGGCAGATGCCACAGCACTCTAGCCCAGGTGACAGAGCAAGATTCTGTCTCAAAAAAAAAAAAAAGAAAAGAATCAGCTACAGATTCATACTAACTTAATTCTAGTTAGTTATAGAAACATTACTCCTATATAGCACCACACCCTTCCACATACAGCTTTATATCTCTATATAACTCTATGTTTTCTCTGTATACCTTTCTGGGGTATTATTCTGATATGCATGACATCTATAAACATTATAAATTGAACAATGATTGTGATTATATCATATAATTTTATGTCTATTGAAGAACCTGAGAGAAGAAAGCAAGAGCAAGTACATATTTAGCGATTTTCTTATATTAACCATGTTAATTATCACATATGGTTCTCTTTATTTGGGTTATAGATTTGTATTACCATCTAGAGTCATTTTCTCAACCCAATACAGCTTCAGTTTCACTCACCTCCTTTGTTCTCTTATTGGCAAACACATTACATTTCAATATGTTACAGGAGGAACAATACATTGTATAAACACAGTTTTATACAATTACTTTCTAAATTAGTTAAGGGAAGAAAGTAGAAAATTGTGCATTTATACTGCCTCCTTTTAGAGTTTCATATTTACCCTCAACTGGTACGCTGTGTTTTTCTTACGTGTGAATTTGAATTACTGCCTGGGGTCCCTTGCTTCCAGCCTGAAGAACTTCATTTTACATTACTACATTTCTTGTGAGGTCTGCCCTCAACGAATTGTTTCAGTTTTGTTAATCTGGGTTTTTATTACATCCGCATTTTTGAAACACAGCTGTGCTTGGATGTAGGCTACTTGGCTGACAGGGTTTTGTTTTGTTTTTCTTTAGACATTGAATTTACTATTCTACTTCTTTCTGCCTTGTTTTGTTTCTGATGAGGAGTCACCTATTAATCTTACTGGGTGTCTTAGTAGGTTTGTGTTTCTATAAAGGAATACCTGAGACTGGGTAATTTATTATATAAAGAAAAAGGATATATTTGGGTGGCTGAAAGATTGGCATCTGTTGAAAGCCTCAGGCTGCTTCTACTCATGATAGAAGATGAAGAGGAGTAAGCGTATTCAGAGATCCCATGGGGGCCGGGCGCGGTGGCTCATGCCTGTAATCCTAGCACTCTGGGAGGCCGAGGTGGGAGGATTGCTCGAGGTCAGGAGTTTGAAACCAGCCTGAGCAAGAGCGAGACCCCGTCTCTACTATAAATAGCAAGAAATTAATTGGCCAACTAATATATATAGAAAATATTATCCAGGCACAGTGGCGCATGCCTGTAGTCCCAGCTACTCGGGAGGCTGAGGCAGCAGGATCACTTAAGCCCAGGAGTTTGAGGTTGCTGTGAGCTAGGCTGACGCCACGGCACTCACTCTAGCCTGGGCAACAAAGAGAGACTCTGTCTCAAAAAAAAAAAAAAAAGAGAGAGAGAGAGATCCCATGGCAAGAGAGGAAGCAAGAGAGAGTACGAGGGTAGGTGTCCAGCTCTTTTTAGCAACCACACTAGGCTGCTCGTGAGAGATCTGCCCCCATGACCCAGACACCTTCCTTTAGGCCTGATCTCCAACACCGTGGACCTCATCTCAACATGAGATTTGGAGGGGACAAACAAACCAAACGGTAGTACTGGGGTTGCCATTTAAGGGTTTAAGTGGATTGTTTTACATTCAAAGATTTTCTCTTTCTCTTCCTGCTTTCAAGATATTCTTCCTTGTAGTCCCAGCTTCTTGGCAGGCTGAGGCAGAAGGTTGCTTGAGCCCTGGAGTTCGAGGTTGCAGTGAGCACTCCAGCCCACACAACAGAGCAAGACCTTGTCCCCCCCCCAAAAAAAAAAGATTTATTTTCTTGTCATTAACTTTCAGTACTTTTACAACTGTGGATCTCTTTTGTGTTTATCCTATTTAAACTGCATTGAGTTCCTGGGTGTGAGCAAATTTTCATCAGCTGTATGTATGCCCTTGGGACCATTTCCAGTGATTTCAGATGATTCCTTTTGCATTTACAGTTTTTTGTCTGTGAATCTCTTCACACTGTCATGCTATAAATCTCTCCAGGAATTATATAATTGTAAAGATTGCATGCTGAGTGATGTGTGAACTCTCCCCAAGAGAGATGGGGATGGGGAGAGGACAGCAGAGTGCACTGCCTCCAAAATACTGAATAAAAGAGATTCAGAGCCCACCAAACCCAGAGAGCACTCAGCTCAGATGAATTTAGATGGAGCACCTGACCTGCATTGTCTGCTGGGCCCCTGGGATGTGCCCAGCCCCGCCCAGCCCCACCCAGCCCTGGATAGTCCAGATCACCGCTCTCTTCCTCCTTTGCACCCACCCATGGTTTCCCACTGCAATGTGCGTGGTGGCTGCATTTGTCTGCAGTCTGGGATGTATGCACGCATCATACCAACCTCCTCCCTCTTTCTCTCCACTCCTCCCTCCTCTCCAGGACTCTGCCCTGCAAATTGTTGTGGCCTCATCTCTCTGCACCCCAACTTCTGTTGTTTCAACATAGTGTGCCTCCATGCTGCTCCCTTTCATGCAGCATGGGAAGCTGGGGTGATCACAAGACCCACCTGATTTGATGTCGTTATTCTCCATCAAAAAACAGGCACCTTACCTTATCGCAGTGGCTTCAGAGAAGAGAATTTATTTCTTGCTCACCTTCCCATGAAGGTCAACGAGGGGTGTGTGGTGCTCCACAGAGTAGCTCGGGGACCCAGGCTGGTGTGGCACTGTCCTCTGACAGCTGTTGCTCTGGAGGTCATACCAGGTTGGACACTGGCACCTCTGTGCTTTGCTTGGAAGTGATGCTTTGGCCATGACTGGTCCTCTGACCCCGCCTAACTGCAGGGGAGCTTGGAAATCAGATGGAATAATTTAGCACCGAGGTTTCAACGTGTTTGCCATGGACCCAGCCCTCAAAGGGAGACACCTGCATTCCCAAAGCAAGTCAGGAGCCCCTCCCCAAACAGGTGGTGAAGGAAGCTCCATGAAAAATAAAAATGGGCATTGGTAAGTTGGTGAAGACATCTTCTCATTTGCGTGATATGCTGTTGCGCAAGGAAAAAGTGTGACGTGAACTCAACTTCAGTCTGTACCAAGGTGACCAGACGTTTTAAAGAGCGTATGAAAAAAACAAAAAGTAACAAATGCTGGTGAGGATTTGGAGAAAAGGGAACCCTTACCCACTGTTGGTGGGAATGTAAATTAGTACAGCCCTTGTGGAAAACAGTATGGAGAGTTCTCAGAAAACTAAAAATAAGACTATCTTATGATCCAGGAATCTCACTACTGGGTGTTTATCCAAAGGAAAGGATTTAAAAATTACCTGTTGGCCAGGCACGGTGGCTCACACCTGTTATCCTAGCACTCTGGGAGGCCGAGGCGGGAGGACTGCTTGAGCTCAGGAGTTTGAGACCAACCTGAGCAAAAGTGAGACCCCTTCTTTACTATTAAAAAATACAGGCCGGGCGCGGCTTGGCTGCCATGAACTGTAATCCAGCACTCTGGAGGCTGAGGCGGCGGATTCTCGAGTCAGGAGTTCAAAACCAGCCTGAGCAAGAGCGAGACCCCATCTCTACTAAAAATAGAAGAAATTAATTGGGCACTAATATATATAGAAAAAACTAGCCGGGCATGGTGGCACATGCCTGTAGTCCCAGCTACTCGGGAGGCTGAGGCAGTAGGATTGTTTGAGTCCAAGAGATTGAGGTTGCTGTGAGCTAGGCTGATGCCACGGCACTCACTCTAGCCTGGTCAACAAAGTGAGACTCTGTCTCAAAAAAATAAAAATAAAAAAATGAAATCCTGTCACTCATGGCAACATGAATGTGGCTCCAGGACATTATGTTAAGTGATATAAATCCAGCATAGAAAGATAAATATTGTATTTTCTCACTCATACGTGGAAGCTAAAAATAACTGAGCTCATGAAAGTAGAGAGTGGAATTGTGTGTATTAGGGTTGGGATTAACAGACGCTAGGTTGTAGCGGGGTAGCAGGAATGAGTCTCGGTGTCTGTAGCATCGTAGGGTAACTTGGTTAACTATCTTTTTTTTTTTTTCTTTTGAGACAGAGCCTCACTTTGTTGCCCAGGCAAGAGTGAGTGCCGTGGCGTCAGCCTAGCTCACAGCAACCTCAAACTCCTGGGCTCAAGCGATCCTCCTGCCTCAGCCTCCCAAGTAGCTGGGACTACAGGCACACGCCACCATGCCTGGCTAATTTGTTTTTGGTATATATATTTTTTAGTTGGTCAATTAATTTCTTTCTATTTTTGGTAGAGACGGGGTCTCGCTCAGGCTGATTTCGAACCCCTGATCTTGAGCTATCCGCCCGCCTCTGCCTAACTATCCTTTATTGTATATTTTCAAAAAGGTAGAATAGAGGATTTTGAATGCTCACAACACCAAGAAAGGATAAATGTTTGAGGTGATGAATATGCTAATTATCCTGACCATCACCCATTGTCCGCAGGTATCAACATGTCACTCTGTATCCTGTGTACGTATGTACAACTATTATGTGCCAACCAAAAATAAGTGTAGAAAAATGAAAATAAAGTATGAGAGAAAAGAGAGGTTCAACAGGGGCTCAGTAGCATCCGGGAGGTGAGAAAGTACAAAAGTGGGAGGGGTGGGTCCGTGCAAAGCCAGCCTGGGTGAACTAACTGCGGCTGGCAGAGGCTGGCCTCTGTGCTCCCGTGGAGGCCAGAGGCAGCCACCTGTCTTCAGGTGTTGCCCGCAAAACACAGGAGGTTCTTACACGACCTTCCCTTTGCTCAGGTGGGCACCTGAATGGGTGCTGGGTTCATCCCCAGGTGGTAGATCCGCGAGCTGTGAGAAACTATGGGAGTGTCTTGTTCAAGTCTTCATAAGACCAAAGTTGAGGCTTGTCCAAAGCAGGGCTCCCGGCAGCCAGGCTGGAGTTTGGTAAAGGAGAGAATCCCTGTCACTTGCAGGACAGAAAATGCACGCACAATTTCTGTACCCAAAGTGGGAGCCAAAGCACTTGTCCTAAACATAACTACACGCTTTTACCCTCTGGCCTGAGCAGTGTTCATTTACTGCTGTTGGACCTGTAAGCAGAGTGGTTTTTGTTTGTTTATTTGTTTGTTTGAGACAGAGTTTTGCTCTGTTGCCTGAGCTGGACTGTCCTGGTGTCAGCCCAGCTCACAGCAACCTCAAACTCCTGGATTCAAGCGATCCTCCTGCCTCAGTCTCCTCCCGAGTAGCTGGGACTACAGGCATGTACCACCATGCCCAGCTAATTTTTTCTATATATTTTAGTTGGCCAATTGATTTTTTTCTATTTTTAGTAGAGATGGGGTCTCGCTCTTGCTCAGGCTGGTCTTGAACTCCTGAGCTAGAGCAATCCTCCTACCTTGGCCTCCCAGAGTTCTAGGATTATAGGCGTGAACCACAGCACCAGGCCTAGAGAGTGTTTTATCTTTTTCATTAACTAGTTGATTAAACAAGTGTTTACTGAGCACCTGCTAAGCAAATTAATTGTGACAAAGACTTGGTTTACCCTCAAGGAGCTCACAGTCTAGCAGGAAAATTGACAAGTAGACTGCCTAATATTCAGGGTGACAAGTGCCACCAGCACAACACACTACCCGGAAGCTTTAGGGACTCAGTCTCTGTTACAGGGAGCCTGCCATGTGACAGACAGTCAACAGCTGGGTTTAGGAGTGTTGGATACGGCTGACCTATCTCCACAGGCATGCACGTGCGTGTATGTGTGTGTGTGTTGTGTGTACACGAGCATGTCCTGTTTTCACCTTTGCATGAAATGTCAAAAGTGAAACATCTCAAGATATGTTTTCCATTATGCAAACTGTTAAAGATATGAATTTCATTGATTAATACAAATTAGGCATGAAATGCAGGCAACTCTATTTACCAAGGAATGCTGGCATTCCGTGTGTCTCTGGTGGGGTGTCCACGAGCACCTCAGCTTGAGGTGAGCGAGCCAAGTGTAAGGAAGGTGCCTGGGAGGCAGCTGTGACCCCAGGTTCCCAGGAGATTGACTTCCAGTCTGGGGGTGCTGCAGGAAGCAGATGGCTGAGCTCAGGCACTCCCAGTGACCCACCCCCACCCCACCGAGGGTGGACAGAGCCTGAGACCTGGCAGCAAACGGAGCATCTTCCTGCTCACCTCCAGGACCCCCACGGCAGGCAGGGGATGGGGTTGGTCAGGCAGATGCTGGCCACACGCCTGGCCCAGGCCACCCTGCCCTCCCTAGAAGGAGAAGCTGAGCCGGGCTCCCAGAGGGGAGAGAGGGTGGGCTTGTGGGACAAGCTAATGATAATCCCCTGTCACCTGAGTTCTGGGAAGTCAGTGAAAGTTCACCCTTCCTCTTGGGAAAGCCAAACCGGTTTGGGGAAGTGGTTGCCCACAGGGCTGAGGGGGACGGGCTCAGAGCACCACAGACTGGGCCATTCAACAACTGACTTTTTTTTTTTTGAGACAGAGTCACTCTGTTTTCTGGGCTAGAGTGCCGTGCCGTGGCGTCAGCCTAGCTCACAGCAACCTCAGACTCCTGGGCTCAAGGAATCCTCCTGCCTCAGCCTCCCGAGCAGCTGGGACTACAGGCATGTACCACCATGCCCGGCTAATTTTTTCTATATGTTTTTGGTTGGCCAATTAATTTCTTTCTATTTTTGGTAGAGACAGGGTCTCACTCTTGCTCAGGCTGGAACAACAGACATTTATCTTATAATTCTGGAGGCTGGAAGTCTGAGATCAAAGTGCCCGCAGGGCTGGGTCCTCCTGAGGCCTCTCTCCTGGGCTTGACGTCTCCCCCCTGCACCCTCACAGGGTCGTGGGTGTCTGTGGGTGTCTGTGTCTTGATCGGCTCTTCTTCTAAGGACACCAGTCACAGTGCATTATGGCCCACCCTGCCTCATTTAACCTTGATTACCTTACGTTCTAAGGTCCTCTAGGTTAGGGCTTCCACACGTGAATTGAGGCGGGGCACAAACATTGAGTTCATAACACCCACCCACCACCTGGCCCATGCTTGGTGTTTGTTATGGGTTAAGTTGTGTGGCTGAATTTGGAGATGGGGCCTCTAAGGAAGTAGCTAAGGTTAACTGAGGCCACAAGGGTAGAGCCCTGGTCTGATGGGACTAGTGTCCTTATAAGAAGAGACCCCAAGGCCAGGCGTGGTGGCTCACACCTGTAATCCTAGCACTTTGGGAGGAGAAGGTGGGAGCTGATTGGATGTTAAAGCTTGTAGTTGATTGGATGCTTCTTGAGCCCTACCAAGGGTATAAAAGCAGGGGCTGAAGGGCATGAAGAGGGAGAACTTCGAGGGAACATCAGAAGGCACGAAGAGAGCTGTAACTCTAGGTGTGCTGAGCCTACTGTAGAAGAATAAAGTCTGTTCTCCGAGGGAAAAAAAAAATCCCACCCGGTTCCCCTCTGCCCTAGAGCAGGCAGGGGGCGGGGCGGTCCGGTCCGGCTGCGAGATGCAGGGAGTCGGCCTAGCCTGCGAGGCAGCCTCTCAGCGTCCTGCAGGGAAGGGTCCAAGGAACAGGGTCTGCACCCATGGGAAGGAGCAGCGGCCCTAGTTCGAAACCAGCCTGAGCAAGAGCGAGACTCCATCTCTACTGTAAATAGAAAGAAATTAGCCAAACAACAAAAATATATAGAAAAAAAATTAGCCCTCACCAAAAACTGAGGAATCTTCACCGGGCACTTACAGCCTCTAGAATTGAGAAAACGTCTGTGGCACAGCCGGCCCTCCTCTCTGCGGGGGACTGGTTCCAGGACCTCCCCCGCAGACACCAAGTCCAGCCCCAGCACACTGACACGGTGAGACCCAGAGGGAGCAAGGAAGCTGCGTCTGCCCCTTGGGCTGCAGGGCATGGAGGCGATCCAGACCCCGGGCCAGCAGCGAGGGCGTCCAGAAGGAGTCCCGCCCGCGGGCAGCAGCCGGCCCCTATATATGGGCCTACGGGAGCGCGGGTTTGGGGCAGCCCGAGCCTTTTGTGCGGCTCCAGACCGAGCCTGGGAGAGGTTGGGGGGGGCGCTCGGTCCAGCACCCCAGGAGCGTTCCTCCACCTGTTCATTCCACGAAGCTCCTGCTGCACCTATGGGGCCGAGGGGTTAGGCGGGGGCCTGGATGTGCACTGGGCTGGTTCAGAGGACCAGAGAACCCTGGAGTCCCCCGGGTCCTGGTCCTCCTGGTCTGACCCCGCCCGTGGAGAGCTGAGGATGCAGCGGAGGGGTGTGCGAGGGGCAGACAATCTCTGCCCCTAGAGTCAGGGGTTTGAGTTCAGGGGTGCCGGCTCCCTCAAATCTGCCAGATCCAAGGACCGACGCCCCGCACCCAGCCCCTAAGGGCCCCAGGAAACGCAGCCCGACGCTTGGGCGCTGCGCCCGTCCCCCTCGCGCGCCCGCCCGTCTCACGCGCGGTCACCGGCCCGCGGTCTTGAGTGGGGACGGCGCAACGCGGGGCGCGCACGCTGCCACCAGGGGGCGCTGCTGCTCCGGGCGACGCGGCCGACCGACCGCGCGTGGAAGCGGGGCCGGCTAGCTGGGTGCCAAGACGCGGGTGCAGCTCCCGGGACCGGAGTTCTGGGTGTTTTATGGACTCCAGATTCCCTTAGAGACTCATGTCCAGGAAGAATCTGTCCCTAGGAACTTGGTCCCGACCTCGGCCCAGACCCCCGCGGGGTGCCGGGCAGTGCTGGGCCGTGCGCCCTGCTCTCCGGACCGGCCTCGTGCCCAGACCCAGCTCTGCGGGGCAGCAGCGAGCGGAACCGGGCTCCGGAGTGGGCAGAGCCTCCCCCTTCCCGGCCCCTCCCGGCAGGGAAAACAAACCTAAAATAAACAAGCCAGGTCCCGCTCCACATCCTCCAGAACGGCTGTCATTTGGGTAAAAGCAAGTGCTGAGGACGAAGACGCGACAGGCGCAGCCACCGTGGAAACAGTGGCTTGGGGGCAGGGCGGAGGGATGGGGAGGGAGGGGACAGAGGGGAGGGGCGTCGCCAGGCCCTGGGGCTCTCGGAGCCTCGGTTTCCCGGGCCGCGCTGTGACCGTTAGCGACCTGGTTTGCGGGAACAGCACCTGCTCAGTGTCCCGCTACTGAAAGTGCAGCAGCGGCAGAGTCCCACTGGTGACAGCAGTCACAGCGGTCAGGGCCACCGTGCCCTGCCTGAGGCGCGGGGGGAGGACAGGCCGGGCGCGGGCCCGACTCAGCCGGCAGGGCGGGGCGGCCGCGCTGGGCCCGGGCGCGGGGCCCGCGGGCGCTGCGGGCGGCTGCCAGACTTCCCGGACGAGCCTGGCGCCTTCGCAGCGCCGCCGGCGGCCCCTGGGACAGCCCGGCTCCCGCCCCCGTCCCCGCCTCCAGCCGCGGGCGGGGTTGCCTCCTGCTCTCAGCCGCAGAGCCGGCGCGGCGCCCGGGGGCCGGCCTGGCCTGGGTTCCCCCTGAGCTGCGGTGGGGGCCTTGCTTTGGGAATGGGGGCGGGGGCGGGGTCCGAGAACCGGCCTGGCCTTGCAGTCCCACGAACGGACAGGGGTGGGCGAGCTCCGCGGGCCCCTCGGCCCCCACTGAGGCGGGACTGTGGAGGTGGGTGCGCAGGCCCGGCCCCACCCACGCCGCGGGCATCTGCGCCGACGGGAACACCTGCAAGAGGCTCCAGGAAATCCCAGACTGCGGCTGCAAGGAACGAAATCTCCCTGGTCCTGGGAAGCGGGTCTGCCCTAGCAGTGAGATGGTCGGTTAAATATATCAATCCCAGAGAGTTTGCAAATAAAAAATGAAGTTAGGACTCCTGGAAAAGACTATGGCAGTTTTCAGAGGAAAGTTTCTCTCCTTATTTTCCGTATGGACACTGGATCCCGCACACCTGCCTGTCCCACACCCCCTCCCCAAGAAGGACCCTCTGGGCCTCAGCCCCGGGCAGAATCTGGGGCACAGCCCTCCCTGCGTGGACCCCACCTCAGGTGCGGTGGAGCGGATGTGGGGGAGACCCAGCCTTGCCAACCCGCCTAGAGGGGGCTCCTCCCTCCCCAGCCCCACTCCCCCACCCCCGCCACCCCTCTACTGGGCCACCCCCTCCTGGGCCACCGCCCTCCTGGACCACCGCCCTCCTGGACCACCCCCCTCCAGGGCCACCGCCCTCCTGGGCCATCCTGCCCTCTTGGACCACCCCTCTCCTGGGCCACCGCCCTCCTGGACCACCCCTCTCCTGGGCCATCCTGCCCTCCTGGACCACCCCTCTCCTGGGCCATCCTGCCCTCCTGGACCACCCCTCTCCTGGGCCATCCTGCCTTACAAAAAGACAGGGGTCTCCTTCCCGCCTCCCTCTGTAGGGGAGGCAGCCAGGCGGTCACCTGCCCCGGCTCCCTCATCCATCACCCTGAACTGTGTTTCACGATAAAATTACTCATCCTCAGCCAGTGATAAATGGAATCAGTCTAGAGGCGACCACGCAGCGTGGGGGTGGGGGCTCCCCATTCAGGGTTTCAGCCCTGGGTGAGTCCCGTCTTTGTGTTCATGCTCAGCCTGGCAGGGGCCAAGTTGGCGTGCTGGTATGTGTCTGACGTGGGCCCTTGTTTGTAAAAGCACGTGTGTGCGACTGTGTTTGTGTGCAGGTGAGGACTGGAGCCTTGGAGGGGGCCACCGGGTATGGGGGGTCTGGGCATGGTGGGGGGGTGCTCGGCAGGCTGCAGAGTGAAGAGGCAGCATCTCCAGGGGGAAAGGAGTAGAGGAGTCAGAAAAACAGGGTGAGCCACACAGTGGGGCCTCTGAGAGCCCGTCCGTGCTGAGGGAGGGAAGCAGGTAGCTCCCGGTGCACAGGTGGGGCAACCCGTGTCTGCAGGTGAGCAGGACAAAGCAGCCTCTGGAAGCTTCAGGAATCAGAAGACCCCCTGCCCCTCCAGCCTGGAGCCCTAGACTTTAGGTGTCCAGAGATCAGCAGCTCTCACGCAGGCCTGGCAGCAGGCTGAGGCCCGTGGGTCCTCAGGCCCCACTGGATGCCCTGCTTTCTCCTGCTTACTGCCCCATGAACCTCTCTGAAGTCCTGAGCTGATAACTAAGGGGTTAATTAATAGTCACCACTATTGGTGAGTCACCAATACTGGTGAGCTCAGGGTGGCCCAGAGCAGCTGGGGGCCCTTTTGGTTAAAGTGCAGAGGGCCAGGGGTCCAAACCCGCCCTGCCACCTGCCAGCTGTCTCCTGTAAAGGAGGTAAAAAGAGCAGCACCTGCCTCGTTGGTGGCCGTAAGGGGCACCTGCAAGTATGCCTGTAAAGCACTGAGCCATGGTGACGCGTCTGTCGTTGGCCTCCTGGGTGCCGGCTGGCGATCCCTGAGTGAGCCAGAAATCCCAGCTGTGGGAATGCAGGGTTGCATTCAGAAGCACAAGGACGGTGGACTTGTTCTCACTAGTGGAATCCAGGAAAGCTTCGTGGAGGAAGTGGCATTGGAAGTGGGCACCCAGGATGCATGGGATTAGGCAGAGGGGACGACTGACGGGGCGCGGGCAGGCAAAGTGCTGTTGTGGGGTGAGGGCCACCCCTGGACTGTGCCTGGGAGGCTCGGACAGAGGTGGGTCGGTGGGCACTGGGTGGAAGGTTGCAGGTTCCTCTTCTCTGCCCCATGTCAGGAAGAAAGAGGCTGTGTGAACTGCCCACCTGCGTCTTCCTGGGTTTGCAGCGCTGTGCCTGGCACAGAGGCAGGCAGTGACACCGAAGAAGCCAGGGAGGAATAATGAATGTGTTCACCCTGCAGGCAGCAGGAAACAGCAGGTCGAAGGCTCCTGCCCTGGGGCTGTGCCCTAGAAGGGCTGTCCAGCAAGCCAGGCCCAGAGGAGGACCAGACCTATGGCGGAGTTGCTGGGAGACGGGGGCTCATCTAAGAGCACCAGCGCTGGGAGGAGACGCCCTGCACACAGGCACTGCTGCTCTGTACTGCTTGGCCCTGAGCTTCCCTGAGCCACTGCCTGGGCTGACAGTGCCCAGCGGGGAGGGCAGCCAGCCCTCCTGGACTCCAGGCTCCCTCAGGGCTGGCTGGAGGCAGCATCTGCCACCCTCACAGGCCTCCAGCTTGGGGTTCCCTGAGCTCTGCCCCGAGTTGGCTGTCCTGAGGGGGACAGCATTTTGAACCAGCCCTTCCCCCAGGCAGTCTCCAGGAAAGAGAGCCCACTGTCCCCCAAACAGAAGAAACAAAGTGCAGCTCAAGACCAAGACCCGGGAGGACAGCCCCACGCACCCCCTCCCCCCTTCTGTCCATGGTCCCCAACCTACTCTGGCACACCCCATTCCTGACTCCCTCTGTCCGTCCCCCCGAGTCTGCCTGCAGGTCCGATGTCCCCCTCTCCCCCGGGGCCATGGACCGGCTGCTCCCTTGGCCAGAGGGCCAGCCCTGGAAAGCTCCCCTGCCACCCCCAGTGCCAGCAACTCCCAGTCCTCTGAGTGCCTGGGCAGTGTCAGGCTGAGACCTCAAGGCAGATGCGGCTGCCTGCCTGCCTGTGTCTCGTGTGCACACGTGTCAGTAGATGGGCTCCCTGGCACGGCATCCGTGTGCGTTTACAACCACGGCTGCTGCCCATACAGACTGCAGAGTGTGCTTCCAGGCAATAAAACAAATCCAGCATCGTCAAGGCATCACTGCTCTCCCGGGGGGTTTCCAAGATTAAATTTCCTCTCGCAGTGACAGCATCCTGTCACCAGAGCTCCAGTGACAAAGCCTTCCAAAGGGAGAGGAGGCCACAGCCCGGGGCACGCTGGGCACTTGCTGCTGCAGGCGTGAGGCATGCTCTCACGGTGGACATGCTGTGGCTGGTACCCGCTTCCTGTCCGGGTCCCCAAAGTGAAGCTGCCAGTTGTCCCGAGTGACAGGGGCTGGCCGGAGGTCCTGGAGGTAGGAAGTGCCAGCGCAGCGTGGGTGCTGTGGGGAGAAGCTGGCCCCTGACCGTGGGCCCCCAGACCTGTCTTCCTGGACTGACGTTCAGCATGTCCCAGCCCTTGCCAGGAGCCTGCGGCTGAGGCAGGCCGGCAGGTGACGGGCGGAGAGTCTGCCACTCTGCTGGGTGCACCCAGGCACGCTCAGAAGACACTTTGGATCTCCTCCTCTGCACCAGCCCTGCAGGCGCCGTCATGACTGTACCAAGGGACAGACGCTCAGACAAGACGGGGCAGCAGCCAGACTCACCCTCCTGCCAGGAAGGACAGGGAGCCCCGAGAGGCAGAGACAAGGGAGGTGAGCCCTGGGGCCGCCCCGCTCCAGGCTGGGGTGCAGGGAGGGGGATCCAAGTGTGTCCAGCATCTTCCCTGAGGGGGAGGGGCCGAGCTCAGGACTGGGGAAGCCGAGGCCAGCACAGGCCAGATGACTGCGTGCGTAAGAGGAAGCGCCCGGGAAAGGTCACCTGAGAGCCCCGGGAGTCGTGTCCAGAGCTCAGCAGGGCCCTCGGCCTCGGCCCCTGGGCACAGCACGGAGCAGGTCTGGCCACAGGAAGTGGGACCCACGGCCAGCCCCAGACTCAGTGTGGTTCGTCCTCCCGGCAGGGCTGGACGGCTGGACCCGAAAGGACCAAATGGCTTCCCAGTAACTTCCCAGAGCCCAGAGCAAAGGGGATGTTGACAAAAACAGTCAGCAGCCAACAAAACTCACAGTCCCCGCCACTCGACCAGAAACCACCAGGCACACAGGAAGCTGAGAAGTACAGCCTATGATGAGAAGAGGAGTGAGTGCACTGACACTGCCCAGAGATGACAAGATCACTGTGAGTCGATGAGGACTGACGCATCTGTTACACCTGAATCCAGGGGTTCGAGGAGCCAGAGGACAGCCGGGATGTGTTAAGTGGGGACATTGTGAGCAGAAAAACCGGAAGAGGGTGAAACGCCTGGGTGGGGGGTGGGGGTTGCAGGAGGAGGCCCTGTGGGAGGCCACCCAGCACACAGCC